CTCACACAGAGAGCCATAGACCCACATAGAGACCCACAGGCCCAAACAGAGACCCACAGGCCCACACAGTGACCCATAGACCCACATAGAGATCCATAGGCTCACACAGAGACCCAGGCCCACTCCTTCAATATCAATGGAATTCACGGCCAAGCATCGGAGCAGTGTGGCACCATCCTCCTGACTAAGGCCATACCAGATACCGTCACCACTCTCAGCGCCACTGATGGTGGCCGTGAGTTTGTAGGGGAATCGAACTCAGTTGGCCCGCTGCCCTCATAGAGGGCAGTGGGCTAACCACTACACTAACGCTCCCCGCACTGTGACTACACTCTATAAACAAAAACAATTCCAACTATCTAGATTTGAAGTTTTCGTGGTTCTCCTACGTCAGCAGTTCTCCTGCTGTGTCTGTCCCACCTGATGACGGTCGCTTGTGTTGGCGATCGAAACCTCGTGCTCTAATTTATTTTATTTTATACCTACGTGACTTTACCGAAAGAACCAAAGAGTATATAATTCCATCTATATTTGACCAATTAAGACCCCACTGAGCTACGTAGCGCTTTGTCCGAAGCCACCCTGGCTATCACAAATGATAGCCCAACGAAGTGGCGCTTATCGTCGTCATCGTCGTCATCATCACGTGGAAATTGATAGTAGCCAAATATTCTAAACGTTGGGTGATGTCGGTTCTAAATGTGGAGGGATAAAACCAGAGGAACACGGAGAAAAATCCACGCGACCACAGGGAGAGAGAGAGACACGCAAACTCCAAATATACAGCAGCAGGCGTCAGGGTCGGGGTTGAACCCACGACCTCCTGTAGACCAGGCGAGGTAGTTAACATCTCCTAGCCACCGTGATGATGATGAGAGAGGGATAGAACCCACGACCTCCTGTACACCAGGCGAGGTAGCTAACATCTCCTAGCCACTGCGATGATGAGAGAGAGAGAGACACGCAGACTCCAAATATACAGCAGCAGGTGTCAGGGTCGGGATTGAACCAACGACCTCCTGTACACCAGGCGAGGTAGTTAACATCTCCTAGCCACCGTGATGATGATGAGAGAGGGATAGAACCCACGACCTCCTGTACACCAGGCGAGGTAGCTAACATCTCCTAGCCACTGCGATGATGATGAGAGAGAGAGACGCGCAAACTCCAAATCTACAGCAGGTGTCAGGCGTCGGGATCTGAAACCGCGACCTCCTGCGTACCGGGCGAGGCAGTCAACATCTCGCTGAGCCACCTTAGGGGAGGAGGGACCCGGATCGGGGAGGAGAGCAGCGGGGGGGGGGGGGGGGGCAAAATCCAACTCGGCTCGCCGCGTCAGCGCCCCAACCGCTGCGCCGCCGCTCCTCCCCCCCCCCTACCCGAGGTCGATTCCCCTGACCCAACGGGCCTGATTCCCCGGTTGCTCGCCTAGGTCGGCTCGGCCTCTAAAACGAGAACCGGGGGGGGGGGGAGGGGCGGTGTGTCAACGTCGGCGCTGGGGAGACGGAGGGGGGGGCCGGCCGGCGCGTTGTGGCGGACCTCAAGGGTTCGCTCGCCGGCGGCGCTCGCCCCAACGGGTCTGTTGAAGGCGACGCGGTGGGGGGTGGTGGGTTGGTGCGGGTCACGGCGATGGCGATGTTCGGCGATGGTGTCGGCGGTGATTGTGGTGATGGCCTCGATTGTGGGGATGGCGATGATGTCGATGGTGGTGATTGTGGTGATGTCGGTGGTGGTGATGATGGTGATGGTGATGTCAATGGTGGTGGTAACGTTGATGTGGATTGTGGTGATGGTGGTGGTGATGTTGATTGTGTTGACGTCGATGGTGGCGATTGTGGTGTCCCCTGCTTGTGTGCATTGCCGGCGATGTTGGATTTAGCCGGATCTGACCCCAAATGCGGGCGATGCCCCGGGCTCATAGAGCCAGCCTAAGGCTCCATTAGCATTCTCAAGGTTCAGTGTAAATGCCTGACGTTCATAGAGCCAGTCTGAGGCTCACGGAGCCAGACTGAGGCTCTGAGAACCGGACTGAGGCTCGCTTAGCATTCTTCGGATTCAATGTTAATATCTGACGTTCACAGAGCCAGACTGAGGCTCTGAGAACCAGACTGAGGCCCGCTTAGAGTTCTTAGGGTTCAATGTTAATATCTGACGTTCACAGAGCCAGACTGAGGCTCGTGGAGCCAGACCGAGGCCCTGAGAACCAGACTTAGGCTTGCTTAGCGTTCCGTTCATAGAGCCAGACTGAGGCTCATACAACCAGACTCGGGCATCCTTAGCATAATGAGGGGTTCAGTGTTAATATCGGAGGCTCATAGAGCCAGACTGAGGCTCGTGGAGCCAGACTCAGGCATCCTTAGCATAATGAGGGTTTCAGTGTTAATATCTGACGTTCATAGAGCCAGACTGAGGCTCGTGGAGCCAGACTGAGGCCCTGAGAACCAGACTTAAGCTCGCTTAGCGGTCCGTTCATAGAGCCAGACTGAGGCTCTGAGAACCAGGCTGAGGCCCGCTTAGAGTTCTTAGGGTTCAATGTTAATATTTGACGTTCATAGAGCCAGACTGAGCTTCCCTATCTCTCTCTGCAATGCAGTTGGCTCACTGCATCGTGCACTTTCAAATGGCCGTCTGGAACGTTCCTTTAAATCATCGACATTGACAACTAATTTCTTTAGAACCGCTTTCTGCGTGCTAGTTTGTTGCCCTTCCCCCGCATCTCCGATTAGCACGGTTGGCCGCTACGTACGGCGCGAAAGAAGCTCAACATAGCATGCAGTACGTACAAGCGAGGGGTGGTGAGGTTGGGCCAGGCTGTGGGGTCCCTGTGTGGATTATTGACGTCCCTTGCTCTGTCTCAGCATCTTCCCCCCTCCTCCTCCTCCTCCCCTTCCTCCCTCCTCCTCCTCCTCCTCTTCGGGGCCACGTGGAATTTCTCACTCCAGGCCGATCAGTCGCCCGTCCAAAAAACAACGGTTGGCTGTACCCGTCAAAGCACACGGTCACCCGGAATGATACCTTAGTTTATCTGCTTCTGGGGGGCCTTTTTTCTCTCAAGGCGCTTAACGTGGTTCCAAGCGATGTTTAGTCACGCGTTTTCGGAGCGGGGGGGGGGGGGTGGGGTTTGGCGGTGGGGGAGGGGGGGGGGGGGGCCCCCACTTTCGGCAGCGCGTGTGTGCGCGCGAGAGGGCCGCCACACGCTTGAAACGATTTGGGGGGTTTGTGGCAGCAGCACGTTGGCCTCTTCATCGCGAGACGTGAAAGTGCCGGAGCACCCGGTGTGCGTGCCGATCTCGGAAGGAGCTAGCGCGCTCCAGACGGCCGGGGGAGAACCGGGAGTAGAGCCGGAAGGAACAACGCGCCGTGTGAGTGGGAGGGAGGAGGGGGGTGGGTAAGGCTCAGTCCCCGTACGGATGGGAAGCAATCCCTCTTGCTGTACTGCCTTCATCTCCTGCCTACGAGCCAGGAGATGGTGACTGGGCGCCTCGATGGCTAGGAGATGTTAACTACCTCGCCTGGTACGCAGGAGGTCACGGGTTTGATCCCGACCCTGACGCCTGCCGTATATTTGGAGTTTGCGGTGTCTCTCTCTCTCTGTCATCATCATCACGGTGGCTAAGAGATGTTAACTACCTTGCCCGCTATACAGGAGGTCGTGGGTTCGATGTCAACCCTGACGCCTGCTGTATATTTGGAGTTTGCGTCTCTCATCATCACCTACGGTGGTGAGATGTTAACTACCTCGCCTGGTCTGCAGGAGGTCGTGGGATCGATGCCGACCCTGACGCCTGCTGCTGCTGCTGCTGTATATTTGGACTTTGCGTGTCTCTCTCATCATCACCTACGGTGGTGAGATGTTAACTACCTCGCCTGCCATACGGGAGGTCGTGGGTTCGATGCCGACCCTGACGCCTGCTGCTGCTGCTGCTGTATATTTGGACTTTGCGGTGCCTCTCTCCCCATGACCTAGGGGCGGTGATCTTCACTCGTTTTTAGAGGAGGGGGCGGGGGGGGGGGCTTGCCACTTTCGCCGCTAAGACATCAGCAGTGTGTGAGCGAGAGCCGCCAAACACCGTTTAAAACCATTGGGAGTTTGTGACAGCAGCAGCACGACGATGATGATGGGCGCGGCCTTTTCACCATTTGAGTATCGGCGGCGTGGGGGGGGGGAGCCCGTAGGCCAGGGGCCCACACTGAAAGGCCGCCAGGGGCCTTGCGAGTGGCCCCGCGGGGCCTTGCAATGACGAGCGCTCGTTTAAAGTCCGCGGCGTCTCTGTGCGCGAGTCGGCGGGGTCTGCGATTCCGTGGGGACTCTTTGTAAACCTTGCGAGTGAGGTCCACATGGGCACTTTGCGCGAGATCTCGATGCGAGCCTGTGTATAGATCTTTACGTGAGTCTTTGGGTCGTTTCGTAAGTCGATGAATGAGCGAGAGAGAGAGAGAGAGAGAGCGGCGGGCTAAGCTGGCGATGGTTTAAACACGCAGGGAAGGGAGGGGGGGCCATGCTTCTCTCCACGCTGGGTGAGTGAAAGAATGAATTGATGAATGAAAGACTGAATGATTGATTCACGAGTGACGCGGTCATGTAAGTCAACGGACGAGTGAACGTCTGGCTTACCGGGCGAATGGGCCGAGTGAGTGAATTATCGATAGAATGAATGAAGTATTGCCCTGCAAAAGGTCAACTCCCGAGCGAGTTGAGCGAGTGAGCGAGTGAGTTGATTATCGGTGGAATGAATGAAGCGTGGCGTGCAAAGGTTGAACTCCTGACTCGCTGAGTGAGCGAACGAGTGGGTGATTGAGTGACCGAGCGGAGCCGGAGCCGGCCACAACGCCGCCGCGGTTGTGTCAACACGCTGGCAAGGGCGCGTTGCCATTCATCCCGTTGCCGGCTTGTGCCGGTCTCCTCTCGCACACCCGGGGAGATCCGGACTCTGCTGCTGCTGCCCGGGATAGCAGGGCGGTGGGGTGAGACGTGAGGAGGGGGAGACGGGGGGGGGAGAGCTCACTAGGTGGAAGAGTTGCATTACGACTCAGAAGCCGCAGGGAGGCTGAGAGCTGGGAGTTAGCGAGAGTCCTCTGAGTGAGTGTGAGTGTGTGTGTGAGATCAGGTGCTTCACAGGATCAAGGTGAGTGGCCGGGTGGGTGAGCGAGTACGTGGGTCAGTGTGTGTGAGCGAGTGCATTTTGAATTTTTTTTTGCACCGTACGTCGCCAACCGCGCTAATCGGAGTTGCGAGTGGATGAATGAGGAGTTGATGGTGGGTGAATGAGCGAGCAGGTGGGTGGGTGAGTGAGTGAGTTAGGCGAGTGGGTGGATGAGTAAATTGGGTGAGTATGTGAGTGGGTGAATGAGCGAGCAGGTGGGTGAGTGACTGAGTAGGTGAATGGGTGGATGAGTGAGCGAGTGGGTGAGTGTTAGCGAGTAAGTGGATGAATGAGTAGTTGGTAGTGGGTGAGTGAGCGAGTAGGCGAGTGGGTGGATGAGTGATCGGGTGAATATGTGAGTGAGTGGGTGAGTGAGTGAGTGGATTAATGTGTGGTTGGGTAAGTGAATGGACGAACGGGTGAGCGGGTTAGTTGGCGAGTGAGTGACACACCGTGTCAACCCACACGCTTTACCCCGTATGCTTGTACGGGGAAATTGTGGTTTCAGATCCACACGGCGTACAGCCGTTTAAATACGGGCAACAGCAATACGTTTATTTGTTTGTGTTTCTTCCTCGTGATGGGACTTGTATGATGCACGTTGCTATTTATAAGGGCACGGGGTGACCAATACGGTCTGAATTGGTTTGTAATAAGATAGGGCACTGATAAGGGTTTGACAGGTGTGCGTGAGTGTGTTGGTGAACAGAGTGATAGGTGAGTGTGTGTACGGACGGGTGAGTGAGCGAGCGAGCGAGTGTGTGTCTCTGTGGGCATGGTTCTGGCCACACCCCACCCCCTCGTGCGCCGTGCCGGCCTTCATAGGCGCTGCTCGCTTACAGCACTTGCCCCGGAAGAGTGTTCAGGTTATACGGGCGGCCTTTGCCTTTGATTTTACGTTGGCGCTGTCAGTGTCCTGCCCATCAGTGCCGATTGTTTCATGTTGGGCCCTGAATGCTGTGTTTAGTAAACACCAGCACTCGGGAGACAAAGGCGGCCGGGCGTGGCGCTGGCCACCCAGCCCTTCGCGTGTGCCTTGCCGGGCCTTCATAGTCGCTGCTTGCCGTAAGCAGCACTTGCCCCAACAGTCTGTCGCGGCTACACGGGGGATCTTTGTCTTCGCGCGTGGGTATGACCTGTACGCGTGTGTCTCTCCGCGTAGACCTGGACTTTGCTGTGAAGTCAAACGGAGAACTCCACACCGGTACGTCCACACGCGCGCACGCACAACCCGCATTACAAAAGACGCACGGACACGGAGAGACACACGGGTCCCCCACGTAGCCTTCCAACAGGCTGTTGGGGCGAGTGCACGCAGAGTGAGCGCCAAACCCCGCGTCGCTGAACAACGACACGCACTGCCACCACTCAGCGCCACCCAGCGTCACGCACTGCCACCACTCAGCGCCACCCAGAGTCACGCACTGCCACCACTCAGCGCCACCCAGCGCCACCCAGCGTCACGCACTGCCACCACTCAGTGCCACCCAGAGTCACGCACTGCCACCACTCAGTGCCACCCAGAGTCACGCACTGCCACCACTCAGCGCCACCCAGAGTCACGCACTGCCACCACTCAGCGCCACCCAGCGCCGCGCACTGCCACCACTCAGCGCCACCCAGAGTCACGCACTGCCACCACTCGGCGCCACCCAGCGTCACGCACTGCCACCACTCAGCGCCACCCAGCGTCGCGCACTGCCACCACTCAGCGCCACCCAGCGCCACCCAGCGTCACGCACTGCCACCACTCAGCGCCACCCAGAGTCACGCACTGCCACCACTCAGTGCCACCCAGAGTCACGCACTGCCACCACTCAGCGCCACCCAGCGCCGCGCACTGCCACCACTCAGCGCCACCCAGAGTCACGCACTGCCACCACTCAGCGCCACCCAGCGTCGCGCACTGCCACCACTCAGCGCCACCCAGCGTCACGCACTGCCACCACTCAGCGCCACCCAGAGTCACGCACTGCCACCACTCAGTGCCACCCAGAGTCACGCACTGCCACCACTCGGCGCCACCCAGTGTCACGCACTGCCACCACTCAGCGCCACCCAGCGTCACGCACTGCCACCACTCAGCGCCACCCAGAGTCACGCACTGCCACCACTCAGCGCCACCCAGAGTCACGCACTGCCACCACTCAGTGCCACCCAGAGTCACGCACTGCCATCACTCAGTGCCACCCAGAGTCACGCACTGCCATCACTCAGTGCCACCCAGAGTCACGCACTGCCACCACTCAGTGCCACCCAGTGTCACGTGTTGCCACCACTCAGTGCCACCCAGCGTCACGCACTGCCACCACTCAGTGCCACCCAGCGTCACGCACTGCCACCACTCAGTGCCACCCAGAGTCACGCACTGCCACCACTCAGTGCCACCCAGAGTCACGCACTGCCACCACTCAGTGCCACCCAGTGTCACGTGTTGCCACCACTCAGTGCCACCCAGCGTCACGCACTGCCACCACTCGGTGCCACCCAGTGTCACGCACTGCCACCACTCAGTGCCACCCAGAGTCACGCACTGCCACCACTCAGTGCCACCCAGAGTCACGCACTGCCACCACTCGGTGCCACCCAGTGTCACGCACTGCCACCACTCAGCGCCACCCAGCGTCACGCACTGCCACCACTCAGTGCCACCCAGCGTCACGCACTGCCACCACTCAGCGCCACCCAGTGTCACGTGTTGCCACGCGGTGACACCACAGAGTGACACCACCAGACGTCACGCACTGCCGCGCTGTGCCACGGAGAGGGCTGGGAGTCGCGTATTACGCGGTGCGTACGGGAACCCGCGGCGTTATCCGAGGCGGCCTGCCGGATTAGAACCACGAACCCACCACCCACCGCTCCCAACACCAGTTGGAAGCGGTGGGTGGGTGGTGGTAGACGAGCAGCAGGTGGGCGGTGGGCGGGTGAGCGGTGAGTGGTGGGCGGGTGAGCGGTGGGCGGGTGAGCGGTGAGTGGTGGGCGAACGGCGGGTTAGCGGTGGGCGGGTGAGCGACGGTTGAGCGGTGGGCAGGTGAGCGGTGGGCGGGTGAGCGACGGTTGAGCGGTGAGTGGTGGATGAGTGAGCCGTGAGTGGTGGGTGAGCGGTAGTCGAGCAGCGGGTGAGCGGGGTGAGCGGGGTGAGCGGTGGGTGGGTGAGCGGGGTGAGCGAGTGCGTTGGTGTCGCGGCTCCGTGACTTGTCAAGGTCTCCTTGCCTCTGGCTGCCGCTGCCGCCGCCGCCGCCACTGGCGCTGCGTGTTGGGGGTGGGGGGGTAGAGACAGACGGCGATCTGGGTGGTGGTGGTGCATGGAGGAGCGCGCCACCAACAACCGGGCCCAGCCTGGCTCAGCCGGGAGAGAGGCGTGTTGACATCAACAACCACCACCACACACACACAGCCCCCACCTCCTACACCCTGCCCCCTGCCCCCCCCACACACACACACCCCTCCTCCCCCCTGCCCCGCCCACACCCACCCCTCCTGCCCCGCCCACACCCACCCCTCCCCCCTACACCCACCCCTCCTCCCCCCTGCCCCGCCCACATCCACCCCTCCTGCCCCGCCCACACCCACCCCTCCTCCCCCCTCCCCCCCCCACACCCCCCCTCCCCACAACCCACCCCCCCCCCGCTTTGACCACCTTCCCACACCTCGGCATCCCTGCGTCAAAAAATAAAAATCTTCCTTTGGCAATCCTCGTCACCGTCTTCACCTCCCTCATCATCAGCACCACCACCACGGTACCAATCCTCGTCACCGTCTTCACCTCCCTCATCAGCAGCAGCACCACGGTACCAATCCTCGTCACCGTCTTCACCTCCCTCATCAGCACCACCACGGTACCAATCCTCGTCACCGTCTTCACCTCCCTCATCATCAGCACCACCACCACGGTACCAATCCTCGTCACCGTCTTCACCTCCCTCATCAGCAGCAGCACCACGGTACCAATCCTCGTCACCGTCTTCACCTCCCTCATCAGCACCACCACGGTACCAATCCTCGTCACCGTCTTCACCTCCCTCATCAGCAGCACCACGGTACCAATCCTCGTCACCGTCTTCACCTCCCTCATCAGCAGCACCACCACCACGGTACCAATCCTCGTCACCGTCTTCACCTCACTCATCAGCACCACCACCACGGTACCAATCCTCGTCACCGTCACCGTCTTCACCTCCCTCATCAGCAGCACCACCACCACGGTACCAATCCTCGTCACCGTCTTCACCTCCCTCATCAGCAGCACCACCACGGTACCAATCCTCGTCACCGTCTTCACCTCCCTCATCAGCAGCACCACCACCACGGTACCAATCCTCGTCACCGTCTTCACCTCACTCATCAGCAGCACCACCACGGTACCAATCCTCGTCACCGTCTTCACCTCCCTCATCATCAGCAGCACCACCACGGTACCAATCCTCGTCACCGTCTTCACCTCCCTCATCAGCAGCACCACCACCACGGTACCAATCCTCGTCACCGTCTTCACCTCACTCATCAGCAGCACCACCACGGTACCAATCCTCGTCACCGTCTTCACCTCCCTCATCAGCAGCACCACCACCACGGTACCAATCCTCGTCACCGTCTTCACCTCCCTCATCAGCAGCACCACCACCACGGTACCAATCCTCGTCACCGTCTTCACCTCACTCATCAGCAGCACCACCACGGTACCAATCCTCGTCACCGTCTTCACCTCCCTCATCAGCAGCACCACCACCACGGTACCAATCCTCGTCACCGTCACCGTCTTCACCTCCCTCATCAGCAGCACCACCACGGTACCAATCCTCGTCACCGTCTTCACCTCCCTCATCATCATCAGCAGCACCACGGTACCAATCCTCATCACCGTCTTCACCTCCCTCATCAGCAGCAGCACCACCACGGTACCAATCCTCGTCACTGTCTTCACCTCCCTCATCAGCAGCAGCACCACGGTACCAATCCTCGTCACCGTCTTCACCTCCCTCATCAGCAGCACCACCACCACGGTACCAATCCTCGTCACCGTCTTCACCTCCCTCATCAGCAGCAGCACCACGGTACCAATCCTCGTCACCGTCTTCACCTCCCTCATCAGCAGCACCACCACCACGGTACCAATCCTCGTCACCGTCTTCACCTCCCTCATCAGCAGCACCACCACGGTACCAATCCTCGTCACCGTCTTCACCTCCCTCATCAGCACCACCACGGTACCAATCCTCGTCACCGTCACCGTCTTCACCTCCCTCATCAGCACCACCACGGGACCAATCCTCGTCACCGTCACCGTCTTCACCTCCCTCATCAGCACCACCACGGTACCAATCCTCGTCACCGTCACCGTCTTCACCTCCCTCATCAGCACCACCACGGTACCAATCCTCGTCACCGTCACCGTCTTCACCTCCCTCATCAGCACCACCACGGTACCAATCCTCGTCACCGTCACCGTCTTCACCTCCCTCATCAGCAGCACCACCACGGTACCAATCCTCGTCACCGTCTTCACCTCCCTCATCAGCAGCACCACCACGGTACCAATCCTCGTCACCGTCTTCACCTCCCTCATCAGCAGCACCACCACGGTACCAATCCTCGTCACCGTCTTCACCTCCCTCATCAGCAGCACCACCACGGTACCAATCCTCGTCACCGTCTTCACCTCCCTCATCAGCAGCACCACCACGGTACCAATCCTCGTCACCGTCTTCACCTCCCTCATCAGCAGCACCACCACGGTACCAATCCTCGTCACCGTCTTCACCTCCCTCATCAGCAGCACCACCACGGTACCAATCCTCGTCACCGTCTTCACCTCCCTCATCAGCAGCACCACCACGGTACCAATCCTCGTCACCGTCTTCACCTCCCTCATCAGCAGCACCACCACGGTACCAATCCTCGTCACCGTCTTCACCTCCCTCATCAGCAGCACCACCACGGTACCAATCCTCGTCACCGTCTTCACCTCCCTCATCAGCAGCACCACCACGGTACCAATCCTCGTCACCGTCTTCACCTCCCTCATCAGCAGCACCACCACGGTACCAATCCTCGTCACCGTCTTCACCTCCCTCATCAGCAGCACCACCACGGTACCAATCCTCGTCACCGTCTTCACCTCCCTCATCAGCAGCACCACCACGGTACCAATCCTCGTCACCGTCTTCACCTCCCTCATCAGCAGCACCACCACGGTACCAATCCTCGTCACCGTCTTCACCTCCCTCATCAGCAGCACCACCACGGTACCAATCCTCGTCACCGTCTTCACCTCCCTCATCAGCAGCACCACCACGGTACCAATCCTCGTCACCGTCTTCACCTCCCTCATCATCATCAGCACCACCACCACGGTACCAATCGGCGACGCACGCTAACCTGGCGTGCTCGTCAGCGAACGCTGCCGCCCGCCGACTGGGAAACGTGTCCAGCAGGGGGCGACGTTTCGGGCCGTGGGCCCTTCTTCACGGCTCGTACCGTGGCCGTGCAGCGCCGCCGTCGTCGACACGGAGGAATGCCGCAGGCTGCTGTGGATTGGTGGTGGGGGGGAGGGGTTGGCTGTGTGGTCTAGCCTAGGGGCACCCCCAGTGGCAGCTGTCCCTGTGCGGCACGAGATGACTTGGCACGGGGGGGGGGGGCCTGTGTGGTCTAGCCTAGGGGCACCCCCAGTGGCAGCTGTCCCTGTGTGGCACGAGATGACTTGGCACGGGGGGGGGGCCTGTGTGGTCTAGCCTAGGGGCACCCCCAGTGGCAGCTGTCCCTGTGTGGCACGTGATGACTTGGCACGGGGGGGGGGCCTATGTGGTCTAGCCTAGGGGCACCCCCAGTGGCAGCTGTCCCTGTGCGGCACGAGATGACTTGGCACGGGGGGGGGGCTATGTGGTCTAGCCTAGGGGCACCCCCAGTGGCAGCTGTCCCTGTGTGGCACGAGATGACTTGGCATGGGGGTGCTGTGTGGTCTAGCCTAGGGGCACCCCCAGTGGCAGCTGTCCCTGTGTGGCACGAGATGACTTGGCATGGGGGTGCTGTGTGGTCTAGCCTAGGGGCACCCCCAGTGGCAGCTGTCCCTGTGTGGCACGTGATGAATTGGCACGGGGGGGGGGCCTGTGTGGTCTAGCCTAGGGGCACCCCCAGTGGCAGCTGTCCCTGTGTGGCACGAGATTGCTTGGCACGGGGGGGGTGCCTGTGTGGTCTAGCCTAGGGGCACCCCCAGTGGCAGCTATCCCTGTGCGGCACGAGATGACTTGGCACCTGGCTCTACGAGCAGGCGTCAGTCTGTTGCCGGTGGTAGGGGGGCGATGGTAGCTGCTGTGTGGTCTAGCCTAGGGGCACCCCCAGTGGCAGCTGCCCCTGTGCGGCACAAGTTTGCTCGGGGCCTGGCCCCTTGCCAAGGGCTGAACTCTCCGCTCTGCGTCTCCCGTGTGCCAATACGTAAAATCTGCCTCGGCCCATCATCCAGCCTAGCGCCTCACCCCACTCAGCTGTGCCGGCTCGGCGTCTCCGACAAGGCCGCTATGAACCCTCGTAGAGAGCGTGAAAGACAACCAGACTCGGGGGCTCGAACATATGCGTCTCAGTTGTACTGGAGGTCTGCAAAAAAAACAAGAGCTTTATCGCTCATCGGATTCCTCCAGTATACATGAATATTCATATTCTGAGTTGTGCCAACTCAGCGTCTCTGACACGGCCATCTGCGAAAGGCCGAGTGAGAATTCGCGTGCGGTTGTTAGGAAGCCGTTTGCGCGACGTGGGGGGTGGTGCTGTATAAACGAGACACGAGGATTTCCTCCTGGTGGAGGCTCCTCACCGCAGCCGCCCTGCTGACGTGAAACCGCTGTCCTAGGTCCAGGTTCCGCGTGACTCTCTGCCACGATGATCAGGTTATTAATTAACCTGACAGTTCGTAGTGAGTGATTTTGTTGTCATGTTGGTGGCAGCGGCTAGAGTCGTGCCGCGCTATGGAACCGGCGGGAACCCCAGTTTGGGTTCCCGCTCGCGCTGCCAACACGAACACCGGTCCTGGGCCTCCCCTAGGTCGTCTTGGCCTCAAATGAATAGCTGGTGTAGCGGTGTGCGGTAAACATCTTGGGCCGTGCCGGCCTTCGTAGGTGCTGCTACTCGCGAACAGCACTTGCCCCAACAGTCTGTTAAGGCACACGGGAGGTCTTTGTCTTTGTGTGTTCATAGGTGCTGCTCGCTAGCAGCACTTGCCCCAACAGTCTGTTAAGGCTACACGGGGGACCTTTGTCTTTGTGTGTTCATAGCTGCTGCTGCTGCTCGCTAGCAGCACTTGCCCCAACAGTCTGTTAAGGCTACACGGGGAATGTTTGTGGTGGTGGTATTGGTGGTGGTGGTTGTGGTGAGGGTGGTGGGGATGGTGGTGTTGAGGGTGGTGATAGTGTTGAGGGTGGTGGTGATGGTGGTGTTGAGGGTGGTGGTGAGGGTGGTGGTATCAGCGCTGATGCTAGTGGTGGTGACGGTGGTGATGACGGTGCTGGTGGTGGTGAGGGTGGTGGTGTCAGTGGTGGTGATGGTGGATGGTGGTGAGGGTGGTGGTGTCAGTGGTGGTTGTGAGGGTGATGGTGATGAGAGTGGTGGTGCTAGTGGTGGTGTCGGTGGTGGTGCTAGTGGTGGTGTTGGTGGTGGTGCTAGTGGTGGTGTCGGTGGTGGTGAGGGTGGTGGTATCAGTGGTGGTGATGGTGGATGATGGTGAGGGTGGTGGTGTCAGTGTCGGTGGTGGTGGTGGTTGTGAGGGTGATGGTGATGAGAGTGGTGGTGCTAGTGGTGGTGCTAGTGGTGGTGCTAGTGGTGGTGCTGGTGTCGGTGGTGGCGAGGGTGGCGGCGCTGACGACGTTTGTGACGTGGGTGCCTTGCAGGGACTCCACCGCTGCCGCTCCGCTGCCCGCCATGGATTTCTCCAAGCTGGCCAAGATCCGCGATGAGGAGAAGGAGAGCGCCTATGGGTTCGTGTACGCCGTCTCCGGCCCCGGTGAGCACCGCACGCTCCACAACCAAAACCACCATGGCAACCACAACAACAACAACCACCACAACCCAACCACCATAATAACCACAACAACCACGACAACTGTAACAATAACCACAACCCATCCACCACAGCAACCACCACAGCAACCACAACCCAACCACCACAGCAACCACAATCCAACCACCACAACCCAACCACAGCAACCACCATAACCCAACCAGCATAGTAACTACAACAACCCAATCACCACCACAGCTATAACAACCACCACAACCCAATCACCATAATAACCACAACAACCACTACAACTATAACAATAACCACAACCCAACCACCACAGCAACCACAACCCAACCACCACAGCAACCACAACCCAACCACCACAATAACCACAACAACCACTACAACTATAACAATAACCACAACCCAACCACCACAGCAACCACAACCCAACCACCACAACCCAACCACAGCAACCACCACAACCCAACCAGCATAGTAACTACAACAACCCAACCACCACAGCTATAACAACCACAACCACCATAATAACCACAACAATCACCATTGCCACAACTTTAGCAACAACCACCACAACCCAACCACCACAACCCCACCACAACAACAACCACCACACCTATAACAACCACCACAACCCAACCACCACCGCCATAATTTTAGCAACAACAACCACCACAACCCAACCACAACAACCACCACCACCACAGCTATAACAACATCTACCACCACAACCATAACCACGATAACAAAAACCACAACAACAGCGACCACAACGACCACAACGACCACAACCACTGATCACAGGGGTGGAAGGGAGGGGTCAGGATTGGTTCACCCAGCATTCACCATGCCCCCCCCCCTGTGCCCCTCCCCATGCCCCCCCCCCCCGTACCCTCCCTCCCCATGCCCCCCCATGCCTCATGCCCCCCCATGCCCCGTGCCCCTCACCCCTCTGTGACCTCCCCCCATGCCTCTCCCCCCTGCCCTTCCCCCTGTGCCCCCCTCTCTCTGCCCTCCCCATGCCCCCCCATGCCTCGTGCCCCCCCCCATGCCCCGTGCCCCCCCCCGTGCCCCCTCACCCCCCCGTGCCCCCCCCCCAGTGGTGACCGCGTCGAGTATGTCTGGAGCGGCGATGTACGAGTTGGTGCGCGTGGGGCACAGCGAGCTGGTGGGGGAGATCATCCGCCTGGAGGGGGAGATGGCCACCATACAGGTGTACGAGGAGACCTGTATCCTCTCTTACACGCACGCACACGCACGCACGTACACGCACGCACATACACGCACGTACACGCACACACACACACGCACACACGTACACACGTACACGCACACGCACGCACGTACACGCACACGCACGCACGTACACGCACGTACACGCACACACACGCACGCACACGCACGCGCACGTACACGCACGTACACGCATGTACATGCACGCACACGTACACACACGCACACGCATGTACACGCACGCACACGCATGTACACGCATGCACACGCACGCACGTACACGCACGTACATACACGTACACGCACGCACGTACACACATACAGATACACACAGGTGTATGAGGAGACCTGTATCCTCTCTTTACCACACGCACACGCACGTACACGCACGTACATGCCCGTACACACATGCACGCACACGTACACGCACGTACACGCACGTACACACGTACACGCACGTACACACACGCACGCACACGTACACACACGTACGCGCACGTACACGCACGTACACGCACATTCTGGTTGCGGTTGTTGTTGTTCTTGCAGGTTTTGTTGTTGTTGCGGTTGTTGTCATTGCGGTTGTTGCCGTGGTTACGGTTCTTGTCGTTGCGGTTGCCGTTCCGGTTGTTGTCGTCGTCGCCCGTGGTTGTCTCCGCGGTTGTCTCCGTGGTTGTCTCCGTGGTTGTCTCCGTGGTTTTCTCCGCGGTTGTCTCCGTGGTTGTCTCCGTGGTTGTCTCCGTGGTTGTCTCCGTGGTTGTCTCCGTGGTTGGCTCCGCGGTTGTCTCCGTGGTTGTCTGTCTCCGTGGTTGTCTCCGTGGTTGGCTCCGCGGTTGTCTCCGTGGTTGTCTGTCTCCGTGGTTGTCTCCGCGGTTGTCTCCGCGGTTGTCTCCGCGGTTGTCTCCGCGGTTGTCTCCGTGGTTGTCTCCGCGGTTGTCTCCGCGGTTGTCTCCGCGGTTGTCTCCGTGGTTGTCTCCGCGATTGTCTTCGCGGTTGTCTCCGTGGTTGTCTCCGTGGTTGTCTGTCTCCGTGGTTGTCTCCGTGGTTGTCTCCGTGGTTGTCTCCGCGGTTGTCTCCGCGGTTGTCTCCGCGGTTGTCTCCGCGGTTGTCTCCGCGGTTGTCTCCGCGGTTGTCTCCGCGGTTGTCTCCGCGGTTGTCTCCGCGGTTGTCTCCGCGGTTGTCTCCGCGGTTGTCTCCGCGGTTGTCTCCGCGGTTGTCTCCGTGGTTGTGCCCTTGACGGCGCTGGCAGCGGGCGTGACGGTGGGCGACCCGGTGCTGCGCACGGGCAAGCCGCTCTCCGTCGAGCTGGGCCCCGGGGTCATGAACTCCATCTTCGACGGCATCCAGCGGCCCCTGCAGGACATCGCCGAGCTCAGCAAGAGCATCTACATCCCCCGCGGGGTGAACGTCAGCGCACTCAGCGCAGACAAGAAGTGGGAGTTCAAGCCTGAGAAGAACATGCGGGTGGGTGGGTGGGTGAGGGAGTGGGTGGGTGGGTGGATTAGTGGGTGGGTGGATGGGCGGGCGGGCGGGCGGTTGGGTGAGCGAGCGGGTGAGTGGGTGGGTGAGTGGGTGAGGAGTGAGCGGGTGGGTGGGTGAAAGAGTGGGTGGGTGAGGGAGTGGGTGGGTGGGTGGATTAGTGGGTGGGTGGATGAGCGGACGGGCGGGTGGGTGAGCGAGCGGGCGGGTGAGTTGGTAGGTGGGTGGGTGAGAGAGTGGGTGGGTGAGTGGGTGAGGAGTGAGCGGGTGGGTGGGTGAGAGAGTGGATGGGCGGGTGGGTCGGTGGGTGAGTGGGTGAGGAGCGGGTGGGCGGGTGAGTGGGAGGGCGGGTGAGTGGGTGAGGAGCGAGTGAGCGGGTGGGTGGGTGGTTAAGTGGGCGGGCTGGTGAATGAGTGGATGTGTACATACTTTGAACTTCTTCTGCACCGTGTGTAGCCAACCCGAGTGAGTGAGCGAGCGCACTGAGCGCTGACAAGCAGTGGAAGTGGGTGGATGGGTACGCGTGGACGTATGTATATCTCTGTGTGTCTGTGTATGTCTGTGTGTGTGTGTGTCTGTGTGTCTCTGTCTGCATCCCTGTGGGGAGCGATAGTGTAGCGGTTAGCGCTACACTGCGCTATGAACCTGGCGACCCGGGTTCGATTCCCGCTCACGGCCAACACCAGTGACGATTATCTGAACCGGTCCTGGGCCTCCCCTAGGTCGACTCAGCCTCAAATGAGTACCTGTTGCGGTGTGTAAACATCGCCACTAGGGAGACAAAGGCGGTCGGGCGTGGTGCTGGCCACCCACCCCCTCGTGTACCGTTCCGGCCTTCATAGGTGCTCGCTAACAGCACTTGCCCCTACAGTCTGTTAAGGCTATATGGGGGATCTTTGTTTGTGTGTCCCTGTCTGCGTGTGTCTCTGTCTGCATCCCTGTGGGGAGCGGTAGTGCCGTGGAATGCGCGCTGCGCTATGAACCCGGCCAACACACGATAATTTGAACCGATCCTGAGGCCTCCCCTGGGTCCACTCGGCCTTAAACGAGTACCTGGTGCGGTGCGCAGCAGACATCACCACTGGTGAAGGCAAAGGCGTCCGACGGCACTTGCCCCAGCAGTTCTGTTGCAGGCTGCACGGGAGGAACCTTTGTCTGTGCCTGCGTGCGTGCGTGCGTCCAGGTGGGAGGCCACCTGACCGGGGGCGACATCTACGCCGTGGTCTTTGAGAACTCACTCATCAAGCACAGGCTCATGGTGCCGCCACGGGCACGCGGCACCGTCAGCTACATCGCCCCCGCCGGCTCCTACGACACCTCCGTGAGACGCACGCACACGCGCGCATGGACGCACACATGCACGGACACACACACACATGGACATGCACGTACACACACACACATGGACGCACACACGCACGCGCACACACACATGCACGGACAAGCACACGCACACACATGGACGTACACATGCACGGACAAGCACACGCACACACATGGACGCACACATGCACTGACACGCACACACACACACATGGACGCACACACGCATGCGCACGCACGCGCACGCACACATGGACACACACATGCACGGACACGCACGCACAGGGACTAAGATCCCGCGTGTAGCCTTAACAGATTTTTTTGGGAAAAGGGGTTCATTGGCCTTTTCCTCGCCTCCCGTGTTCCCACCATGCCCCCCCCCCCCCCCACTTCTCCCCACTGTATCCCCTCTCCCACTACCCCCCCCCACTACTCCGTATCCCCCCCCCCCCGGTCAGGACGTGGTGCTGGAGCTGGAGTTTGAGGGCGTCAAGGAGAAGCACACCATGGTGCAGGTGTGGCCGGTGCGGCAGGTGCGCCCCGTCGCAGAGAAGCTGCCCGCCAACAACCCACTGCTCACCGGGCAGCGCGTGCTGGACGCACTCTTCCCGTACGCCCGCCCGCTCGCTCGCCCGCTCGCTCACCCGCTCGCTCGCCCGCTCGCTCGCCCGCTCGCTCGCCCGCTCGCTCGCCCGCTCGCTCACCCGCTCGCTCACCCGCTCGCTCGCTCACCCGCTCGCTCACCCGCTCGCTCGCCCGCTCGCTGACCCGCTCGCTCACCCGCTCGCTCACCCGCTCGCTCGCCCGCTCGCTCGCCCGCTCGATCGCCCGCTCGCTCACCCCCTCGCTCACCCCCTCGCTCACCCACTCGCTCACCCCTCGTGACTCGCACTCAACCCGCTGCTCACCGGCCACCGCGTGCTGAACGCACTCTTCCCGTATGCTCACCCGCTCAATCGCCCGCTCGCTCGCTCGCTCACCCCTCGTCGCCCATAGTCACCCATTGATGTGGTGGTTGATGTACTGGATGTGGTGGTTGCAGTGGTGTTTACGGTGGTGGTGGTGGTGGTGATGGTGGTGGTGGTTCATGTAATGGTTGTGACGGTTGATGTAATGGTTGTGGGTAGTTCACGTGTTGGTATTGGTGGTTGATGTAATGGTTGTTGTGGTTGGTGGCGGTGGTTGTGGTGGTTTTTGGTTGTTGTGGTTGATGCAATGGTGGTTAACGTAATGGTCGTGGCGGCGGTTTGCTGTCCGTGGCGGTGGCGGTGACAGCTGCGTGCAGGGCGGCACCACGGCGATCCCCGGCGCGTTTGGCTGCGGCAAGACGGTGATCTCGCAGTCGCTCTCCAAGTTCTCCAACAGCGACGTCATCATCTACGTGGGCTGCGGAGAGCGCGGGAACGAGATGTCTGAGGTGCTGCGGGACTTCCCCGAGGTGAGCGGCGTGCCCGGCGGGGGGCTCACCGCGACACGGTCCGCACGTGGTTCCGTCATGGCCGTGCCAGAGAGCTCGACATGGCCGGGCCGGTGGTTTGGTTCGTCGTGACGACACTGCAGAGATCCAGTGATGACGATGGTAGTGCTGGTGATGATGACGACGATGGTAGTGATGGTGATGACGACGACGATGGTAGTGATGGTGACGACGACGACGATGGTAGTGATGGTGACGACGACGACGATGGTAGTGCTGGTGATGATGACGACGATGGTAGTGATGGTGATGATGACGACGATGGTAGTGATGGTGACGACGACGACGATGGTAGTGCTGGTGATGATGACGACGATGACGACGACGGTAGTAGTGACGACGACGACGATGGTAGTGATGGTGATGATGACGACGATTGTAGTGCCGATGATGACCATGGTCGCGATGATAGCGATGACGACGGTGCCGATGATGACCATGCCAGTGATGACCACGGTGCCGATGATGACCACGGTAGTCATGACGACGGTGCCGATGATGACCACGGTAGTCATGACGACGGTCCTGATGACGACCATGGCAGTGACGATGACGGTGCCGATGATGACCATGGTAGCGATGCCAGCGACGACGACGGTGCCGATGATGACCATGGTAGCGATGCCAGCGATGGCGACGGTGCCGATGATGGCCATGGTAGCGATGACGACGGTGCCGATGATGGCCATGCTGACGACGATGACGATGTTGCCGTAGTTGACCATGGAAGTGGACGGCAAGGAGGAGTCGATCATGAAGAGGACGGCGCTGGTGGCCAACACCTCCAACATGCCGGTGGCGGCGCGAGAGGCCTCCATCTACACCGGTGAGAGACGCACGCACGCACAAAGGTCCCCCGGGTAGCCTTCAAACACACCGCCGGGGCAAGTGCTGTTACCGAGCAGCGCCTACCATGACCGTCTGTGTCTCCGTGTGTCTCCGTGTGTAGGCGTCACTCTGTCCGAGTGTTTAATGACTGAATGTCTGTGTGTCTCTCCGAGTGTCTCTGTGTCTCCGTGTGTCTCCGTGTGTGTCTCCGTGTGTAGGCGTCACTCTGTCCGAGTGTTTAATGACTGAATGTCTCTGTGTCTCCATGTGTCTCCGTGTGTCTCCGTACGTAGGCGTCACTCTGTCCGAGTATTTAATGACTGAATGTCTCTGTGTCTCCATGTGTCTCCGTGTGTGTCTCCGTGCGTAGGCGTCACTCTGTCCGAGTATTTCCCTGACTGAGTGTCTCTGTGTCTCCGTGTGTCCGTGTGTCCGTGTGTCTGTGTGTCTCCGTGTGTCTCCGTGTGTGTCTCCGTGTGTGTCTCCGTGTGTCTCCGCGTGTCTCCGTGCGTAGGCGTCACTCTGTCCGAGTATTTCCCTGACCGAGTGTCTCTGTGTCTCCGTGTGTGTCCGTGTGTGTCCGTGTGTCTCCGTGTGTCTCCGTGCGTAGGCATCACGTTGTCCCGAGTATTTAATGGCTGAGCGTCTCTCTGTCTCTGTGTCTCCGTGTGTGTCCGTGTGTCTCTGTGTCTAGGGGTGTCTCCGTGTGTCTCCGTGTGTGTCCGTGTGTCTCTGTGTCTCCGTGTGTGTCTCCGTGTGTCTCTGTGTGTGTCCGTGTGTCTCTGTGTCTCCGTGTGTCTCCGTGTGTCTCCGTGTGTGTCCGTGTGTCTCTGTGTCTCCGTGTGTGTCTCCGTGTGTCTCCGTGTGTGTCCGTGTGTCTCTGTGTCTCCGTGTATCTCCGTGTGTCTCCGTGCGTAGGCATCACGCTGTCCGAGTATTTCCCTGACCGAGTGTCTCTGTGTCTCCGTGTGTCTCCGTGTGTCTATGAGTGTCTCCGTGTGTGTCTCCGTGCGTGTCTCCGTGCGTAGGCATCACACTGTCCAAGTATTTCCCTGACCGAGTGTCTCTGTGTCTCCGTGTGTGTCTGTGTGTCTCCGTGTGTGTCTCCGTGTGTGTCTCCGAGTGTGTCTCCGTGTGTCTCCGTGTGTGTCTCCGTGCGTAGGCATCATGCTGTCCGAGTATTTCCCTGACCGAGTGTCTCTGTGTGTGTCCGTGTGTCTCTGTGTGTGTCTCCGAGTGTCTCTGTGTCTCCGTGTGTGTCTCCGTGCGTGTCTCCGTGCGTAGGCATCACACTGTCCGAGTATTTCCCTGACCGAGTGTCTCTGTGTCTCCGTGTGTGTCTCCGTGTGTCTCCGTGTGTGTCTCCGTGTGTGTCTCCGTGTGTGTCTCCGTGTGTGTCCGTGTGTCTCTGTGTCTACGGGTGTCTCCGTGTGTGTCTCCGTGCGTGTCTCCGTGCGTAGGCATCACACTGTCCAAGTATTTCCCTGACCGAGTGTCTCTGTGTCTCCGTGTGTGTCTGTGTGTCTCCGTGTGTGTCTCCGTGTGTGTCTCCGTGCGTGTCTCCGTGTGTGTCTCTGTGCGTAGGCATCACGCTGTCCGAGTATTTCCCTGACTGAGTGTCTCTGTGTCTCCGTGTGTCCGTGTGTCTGTGTGTCTCCGTGTGTCTCCGTGTGTGTCTCCGTGCGTGTCTCCGTGTGTGTCTCTGTGCGTAGGCATCACGCTGTCCGAGTATTTCCGTGACATGGGCTACAACGTGAGCATGATGGCCGACTCCACGTCCCGCTGGGCTGAAGCCTTGAGAGAGATTTCAGGACGACTCGCGGAGATGCCTGCCGGTGACGGACGCACACACGCACACGCACACACTGACACACACGCACACGCACACACTGACACACACGCACACACACTCACAACAACAACCGCCATTCGCCACTAAGTGGCGGTGACATCACCACGACGCTTGTGCCAGGCCATGTGCACCTTGAGGCCACGTGAAGTGTCGAACGCCCGCTGGCAGGAGGTCACGGGGTAGACCCAGGTGCCACTGGTCGACTGACTGAGATGACTGGCTGATGCACCACCTGTGCCCCCTACTGTGCCAACCTGCTGTGCTTTAGCCACCCGGCGCTCCGCTCGTTGTTCTGAGCGTCGCTCCTCCGCCCCCCGTTGTTGTTGGAGGGCGACTACCTCCAACTGCCCAGTAGCATCCTTCACGAGCCTCCTCCACAGAGGCCGATCTTGCCACCGCTGGTACCAGTCATCGGCAAGTCCACTCAGCTCAACGTCCTCCTGTACCACGTCACTCCATCTCTTCTCTAGCCCGTGCCGCGCCCGTTTAGCCCCCTCGATCCGGCCGAACAAAAGCTGTTTCGGCATGCAGTGGCTGGGCATGCGGGCTACATGACCCAGCCAACGCAGCCTTGCCTGCCGGAGGAGCTCAAATACGCACACGCACACACTCACACACGGAAACACATAACGCAAACACACGTAAACACACACACGTAAACTCACACACACGTAAACACACACACGTAAACTCACACACACGTAAACTCACACACACGCAAACACACACGCAAGCACACACGCACAAACATATGCAAATGCACACACGCACGCATACACACACGCACACACGCTGACACACACACACGTGCACGGGCTAACACATACGCAAATACACACGCACGCACACAAGCACACACATGCACAAACGCAGACGTACATACACACATGGAAATAAACACGCACGTGCTGACACATACACACACATACGCACGGGCTGACACGCACAGGCTGACACACACACACGCACACAAAAACAGAGATTACCCGTATAGCCTGAACAGACTGTTGGGGCAAGCGCTGTTAGCAAGCACCTATGAAGGCTGGCACGGCACACAAAGGGGGTGGGTGGCCAGCACTTTGCCCGGCCGCCTTTGTCTCCCCAGTGGCGATATTTACACACCGCACCAGGTACTAATTTGAGGCTGAGTCGACTTAGGGGAGGCCTAGGACTGGCTCGGATATGCGTCACCGGTGTTGGCCGTGAGCGGGAATCGAACTCGGTTCGCCAGGTTCCTAATGCCAGCGTAGCGCTCACCACTCACTACATCACTGCTCCCCAACCAATACACTCACTCAAAGCACTTGCCCCAACAGTGTGTTTGAGGCTGCACGGGGGACCTTTGCCTTTGTGTGTGCGAGCAGACAGTGGCTACCCCGCGTATCTGGGTGCGCGTCTCGCCTCCTTCTACGAACGCGCCGGGCGCGTCAAGTGCCTGGGCAACCCGGAGAGGGAGGGCAGTGTGAGCATCGTGGGAGCGTGGGTGACACACGCTCGCTCGCTCTCACACTCACTCACACACTCGCTCACACACTCGCTCACTCTCACACTCACTCACACACTCACTCATACTCTCACTCACTCTCGCTCACTCTCGCTCACTCTCGCTCACTCATACACTCACTCACTCACACACTCACACACTCACTCTCACTCACTCATACACTCACTCATACACTCACTCACTCATACACTCACTCATACACTCGCTCACGCTCACACTCACTCACACACTCACTCATACACTCGCTCACTCTCGCTCACTCTCACACTCACTCACACACTCACTCATACACTCGCTCACACACTCACTCACACACTCGCTCACTCTCACACTCACTCACACACTCACTCACACGCTCGCTCACTCTCACACTCACTCACACACTCATACACACACGCTCGCTCACTCTCACACTCACTCACACACTCACTCGTACACTCGCTCACTCTCACACTCACTCACACACTCACTCACACACTCGCTCACTCTCGCTCACTCTCGCTCACTCTCGCTCGCTCTCACTCACTCATACACTCACACACTCACTCACTCTCGCTCGCTCTCACACTCACTCACACACTCACTCACACACTCGCTCACTCTCACACTCACACACTCACTCACACACTCACTCACACGCTCGCTCACTCTCACACTCACTCACACACTCGCTCATACACTCGCTCACTCTCGCTCACTCTCGCTCACTCTCACTCACTCTCACTCGCTCATACACTCACTCATACACTCACTCTCACACTCACTCACACACTCACTCATACACTCGCTCACTCTCGCTCACTATCACACTCACTCACACACTCACTCATACACTCGCTCACTCTCGCTCACTCACACACTCACTCGCACGCTCGCTCACTCTCACACTCACTCACACACTCACTCATACACTCGCTCACTCTCGCTCACTCTCGCTCACTCTCGCTCACTCTCACTCACTCTCACTCACTCTCACACTCACTCACACACTCGCTCACTCTCGCTCACTCTCACTCACTTTCACTCTCACTCACTCATACACTCACTCATACACTCGCTCATTCTCGCTCACACTCACTCATACACTCACTCACTCATACACTCACTCACTCTCGCTCACACTCACTCATACACTCACTCTCGCTCACACACACTCACTCATACACTCACTCATACACTCACTCATACACTCACTCACTCATACACTCACTCATACACTCACTCATACACTCACTCACTCTCACTCACTCTCACTCACTCATACACTCACTCATACACTCACTCTCGCTCACTCACACACTCACTCACTCATACACTCACTCATACACTCACTCATACACTACTCACTCTCGCTCAGACTCACTCATTCATACACTCACTCACTCATACATTCACACACTCACTCATACACTCACTCATACACTCACTCTCTAACTCACTCATACACTCACTCATACACTCACTCACTGTCACTCACTCATACACTCACTCACTCATACACTCACTCACTCATACACTCACTCACTCATACACTCACTCACTCATACACTCACTCTCGCTCACACACACTCATACACTCACTCATACACTCACTCACTCATACACTCACTCATACACTCACTCATACACTCACTCACTCATTCACTCACTCACTCGTACACTCACTCATACACTCACTCACTCATACACTCACTCACTCATACACTCACTCATACACTCACTCACTCATACACTCACTCACTCACTCATACACTCACTCACTCATACACTCACTCATACACTCACTCATACACTCACTCACTCACTCATACACTCACTCATACACTCACTCATACACTCACTCACTCTTACACTCACTCACTCATACACTCACTCACTCATACACTCACTCTCACTCATACACTCACTCACTCATACACTCACTCACTCATACACTCACTCAGTCATACACTCACTCATACACTCACTCACTCATTCATACACTCACTCACTCATACATTCACACACTCACTCATACACTCACTCATACACTCACTCTCTAACTCACTCATACACTCACTCATACACTCACTCACTGTCACTCACTCATACACTCACTCACTCATACACTCACTCACTCATACACTCACTCACTCATACACTCACTCTCGCTCACACACACTCATACACTCACTCATACACTCACTCACTCATACACTCACTCATACACTCACTCACTCATTCACTCACTCACTCGTACACTCACTCATACACTCACTCACTCATACACTCACTCACTCATACACTCACTCATACACTCACTCACTCATACACTCACTCACTCACTCATACACTCACTCACTCATACACTCACTCATACACTCACTCATACACTCACTCACTCACTCATACACTCACTCATACACTCACTCATACACTCACTCACTCTTACACTCACTCACTCATACACTCACTCACTCATACACTCACTCTCACTCATACACTCACTCACTCATACACTCACTCACTCATACACTCACTCAGTCATACACTCACTCATACACTCACTCACACACTCATACACTCACTCACTCATACACTCACTCATACACTCACTCATACACTCACTCTCGCTCACACTCACTCATACACTCACTCTCGCTCACACACACTCACTCATACACTCACTCATACACTCACTCTCGCTCACACTCACTCACTCACTCACACTCACTCACTGACTGTCGCTCACACTCACTCACTCTCGCTCACACTCACTCTCGCTCACTCACACTCACTCACTCATACACTCACTCATACACTCGATCACTCACTCTCGCTCACACTCACTCACACTCACTCATACACTCACTCATACACTCACTCTCGCTCACACTCACTCACTCTCGCTCACACACACTCACTCACTCATACACTCACTCATACACTCACTAATACACTCACTCACGCTCGCTCACACTCACTCACTCGTGCACTCACTCACTCTCACTCACTCACTTTCGCTCACACTCACTCTCGCTCACACACACTCACTCATACACTCACTCATACACGCACTCTCTCTCGCTCACACTCACTTATTCACTCTCTCTCGCTCACACTCACTCGCTCTCGCTCACACTCACTCTCGCTCGCTCACTCATACTCATACACTCATACAGTCATTCACTCTCTCTCGCTCACACTCATTCACACTCGCTCACACTCACTCACTCTCGCTCGCTCACACTCTCTCTCTCGCTCTCATTCACTTACACTCACTCACGCTCTCACTCACACTCACACACTAACATTCACTCAAACTGACTCAATCACACTCACTCATACACTCGCTCACTCTCACTTACTCACACTCACCCTCGCTCGCTCACTCGCACTCACTCAAGCTCGCTCACACTCACTCTCACTGACTTAATCACACTAACTCATACACTCACTCTCGCTCGTTCACACTCACTCTCGCTCGCTCACTCACACTCACTCGCTAAATCTCACACACTCACTTACTCTCACTTGCTAACACTCACTTAATCTCACACACTCACGCACTCTCGCTCGCTCACTCACTCGCTCGAACACTGGCTAATGCTCTCACTCATACACCCACTCATAGTCTCACTCGCTTGCACTCTCGCTCACTCGCACACACACTGACTCACTCACAAAGATCACCCGTGTAGCCTTAACACACTGTTGGGGCAAGTGCTGTTAACCGAGCACCTATGAAGGCCGGCGCACAGCACACGAGGGGGTGGGTGGCCAACACCACGCCCGGCCGCCTTTGTCTCCCCAGTGGCGATGTTTACACACCGCACCAAGGAACTCATTTGAGGCCGAGTCGACCTAGAGGAGGCCCAGGGCCGGTTCAGGTAACCGTCACCGGTGTTTTACCGTGAGCGGGAATCGAACCCGGGTCGCCAGGTTCGTAGCGCTAACCGCTACACTACACATGTACACACACACACACACGCGTGCAATACGCGCTGTACACCTGCGTGTGCGTGCGTGCGTGCGCGTGCGTGTGCAGTGTGTCCCCTCCAGGTGGTGACTTTTCAGACCCCGTTACGTCAGCCACCCTGGGTATCGTACAGGTACGTGTACGCGAGTGACCGAGTGCGTGCATGCGTGCGTGCTTTCCCAGTGTGGGAGCGGCAGTGCAACGGTTATCGCCCTCTGCGCTACGAACCCGGCGACACGAGTTTGATTGCCACACTGAGCTCTACACGGCCCGACTCCGTAAAGTGAAAAATAGTTTGTCAGCTTTTACCTGGGTTCGCATCGGCCATACGAGAGAAGGAGGGGATGGGAGTGAGCAATCCAGAATAAGATTCAGCTTGACGCCCGTGGGAAGAATTTGTGTCGGGCCTCCAGATTCTGGAATGTTGTCCGTAGCAGCGTGGATCGCCATCTGGCCTCTTGCTTACCAGGTGAGGCCCCCGCTGAGCAAAGCGGGTCTTTTCCAGAGGCAACCTGGCTATCACAAATGACAGCTCAACGAAGTGGCTCATCGTCACCGTCGTGTGGAAATTCATAGCAGCCAAATACTCCAAATGACGCGTGACGTTGATTGGTCAACGTGGAGTGAAAAGCTGGAGGCCCCGGAGAAATATCCCAGAGAGAGACGCAAACTCCAAATATACAGCAGCAGGCGTCAGGGTCGAGATCGAACCCACGACTTCCTGTACACCAGGCGAGGTAGTTAACATCTCCTAGCCACCGTGATGATGATGATGATGAGAGAGACACGCAAACTCCAAATAGACAGCAGCAGGTGTCAGGGTCGGGATCTCAACCCACGACCTCCTGTAGACCAGGCGAGGTAGTTAACATCTCCTAGCCACCGTGATGATGATGATGATGATGAGAGAGACACGCAAACTCCAAATATACAGCAGCAGCAGCAGGCGTCAGGGTCGGGATCTCAACCCACGACCTCCTGCGTACCAGGCGATGGAGATGACATCTCGCCACCGCGCCGGCCAATGACGTGCCTCCTATACCTCCCGCTCCCACCCCCGGCCCCCCTCCCACACCCCCTCCCTCCCTCGCCCCCCAGGTGTTCTGGGGTCTGGACAAGAAGCTGGCTCAGCGTAAACACTTCCCATCTGTGAACTGGCTCATCAGCTACAGCAAGTACATGCGGGCCCTGGACGAGTACTACGATCGACACTTCCCCGAGTTCGTGCCGCTGCGCTCCAAGGCGCGCGAGATTCTGCAGGAGGAGGAGGACCTGGCCGAGATCGTGCAGCTCGTGGGGAAGGTGAGCGCCACGGCGCCATAGCCACCGTCACACCGCACCGTCACACCGCACCGTCACACCGTCACACCAGACCGTCGCACCGTCGCACCGTCGCACGACACCATCACACCGCACCGTCACACCGCACCGTCACACCGTCACACCGCACCGTCACACCGTCGCACCGTCGCACGACACCATCACACCGCACCGTCACACCGCACCGTCACACTGCACCGTCACACCGCACCGTCACACCGTCACACCGCACCGTCACACCGCACCGTCACACCGTCACACCGCACCGTCGCACGACACCGTCACACCGCACCGTTACACCGGACCGTCACACCGGACCGTCACACCGCACCGTCACACCGTCACACCGCACCGTCACACCGTCGCACCGTCGCACGACACCATCACACCGCACCGTCACACCGCACCGTCACACCGCACCGTCACACCGCACCGTCACACCGTCACACCGCACCGTCACACCGCACCGTCACACCGTCACACCGCACCGTCGCACGACACCGTCACACCGCACCGTCACACCGGACCGTCACACCGGACCGTCACACCGGACCGTCACACCGCACCGTCACTCCGCACCGTCACACCGCACCGTCACACCGCACCGTCGCACGACACCGTCACACCGCACCGTCACACCGGACCGTCGCACTATCACACCGGACCGTCGCACCGGACCGTCGCACACCACCATCACACCGGACCGTCACACCGGACCGTCACACCGCACCGTCACACCGCACCGTCACACCGTCACACCGCACCGTCACACCGCACCGTCACACCGTCACACCGCACCGTCGCACGACACCGTCACACCGCACCGTTACACCGGACCGTCACACCGGACCGTCACACCGCACCGTCACACCGTCGCACCGTCACACCGTCGCACCGTCGCACGACACCATCACACCGCACCGTCACACCGCACCGTCACACCGCACCGTCACACCGCACCGTCACACCGGCACACCGCACCGTCACACCGCACCGTCACACCGTCACACCGCACCGTCGCACGACACCGTCACACCGCACCGTTACACCGGACCGTCACACCGGACCGTCACACCGGACCGTCACACCGCACCGTCACACCGCACCGTCACACCGCACCGTCACACCGCACCGTCGCACGACACCGTCACACCGCACCGTCACACCGGACCGTCGCACTATCACACCGGACCGTCGCACCGGACCGTCGCACCACACCATCACACCGGACCGTCACACCGGACCGTCACACCGCACCGTCACACCGCACCGTCACACCGTCACACCGCACCGTCACACCGCACCGTCACACCGTCACACCGCACCGTCGCACGACACTGTCACACCGCACCGTTATACCGGACCGTCACACCGGACCGTCACACCGCCCCGTCACACCGTCACACCGCACCGTCACACCGTCGCACCGCACCGTCACACCGCACCGTCACACCGTCACACCGCACCGTCGCACGACACCGTCACACCGCACCGTTACACCGGACCGTCACACCGGACCGTCACACCGGACCGTCACACCGCACCGTCACACCGCACCGTCACACCGCACCGTCACACCGCACCGTCACACCGCACCGTAACGGCCGTGTCGTTCTGGATGACCACGGCCGCACCCGACTGGAGAGTTTTTAATTTTGCATTTGGGCGTCAGGGTTTTGTGGTGAGCTTCACCGGAAGGTGAACAGCCAGGGATTCCGACCCCGGCACACGATGCCCGTTGTTACCGTGCAGGGTCACCAGGGATTCAATCGGGTGTCCGGGTCCCCCCCCCTCCCCCCCGAGTGTCTCTCTCGGAGGTGGTTCGTAATGGCCGAGTGTCGCCCTGCCGGAGGAGCTCTACCCCCCCCGCGGCTGAGAGCCATGTTCGCGGTCCGTGCTTCAGCGCAATCGGGGATTGAACTGGGGTGTCCGGTGTCTCTCTCGGGGGGGGGGGGGGGGGGGGGCCTTCTGCTAGGCTGTAGCCCGACAGTTCCCCATCGACTTGATCCGCTTTGTAACCAGGTGAGAGAGGGACCCCCCACCACCAGGGTGGGATAGGCGAGTCTCATTTGCACGAGTGACCCTTGTGCGTGCCTGTGTTTGTTCGTGCGCGTGTGCTGCACGTGTTTGTGTGTGCGGTGATGGTGGCACTACGTCCACCACCACCATCGCCGCTGCCGCCACAACCACCTGCAACCACCACTGCAACCGCCACCATCACGACCGCCGCCACCACTAACCACAACTACCACCATCGCCACCGCCACCACCACCTGCAACCACCACTGCAACCGCCACCATCACGACCGCCGCCACCACTAACCACAACTACCACCATCGCCACCGCCACCACCACCTGCAACCACCACTGCAACCGCCACCATCACGACCGCCGCCACCACTAACCACAACTACCACCATCGCCACCGCCACCACCACCTGCAACCACCACTGCAACCGCCACCATCACGACCGCCGCCACCACTAACCACAACTACCACCATCGCCATCATCGCCACCACCGCCACCACCGACCGTGGCGAGCAGAGCTCCCTGGCGGAGACGGACAAGATCACGCTGGAGGTGGCCAAGCTGATCAAGGACGACTTCCTGCAGCAGAACGGCTACACGCCGTACGACCGCTTCTGCCCCTTCTACAAGACGGTGGGCATGCTCTCCAACATGATCGCCTTCTACGACATGGCACGCCACGCCGTGGAGACCACGGCGCAGAGCGACAACAAGATCACCTGGGCGGTCATTCGCGAGAACATGAACGAAATCCTGTACCGCCTCACCTCCATGAAGTTCAAGGTGCGTCCGTGTGCGTGTCTGTGTGTGCGTGTGTGTGTCCGTGCGTGCGTGCGGTAGTGTAGTAGCGGTTAGCGCTACGCTGCGCTATGAACCTGGCGCCCCCGGTTCGATTCCCGCTCACGGCCAACACCAAGTGACGATTATCTGAACCGGTCCCGGGCCTCCCCTAGGTCGACTCAGCCTCAAATGAGTACCTGATGCAGTGGTGTGTAAAAACATCGCCACTAGGGGAGACAAAGGCGGCCGGGCGTGCTGCTGGCCACCCGCCCCCGCGTGTGCCGTGCCGGCCTTCATAGGCGCTGCTCGCTAACAGCACTTGCACCAACAGTCTGTTAAGGCTATATGGGAGATCTTTGTGTCTATGCGTGTGTGACTGTCAGTGTGTGTGTGTGTGGGGAGCGGTAGTGGTAATGGTTCGTGCGGTGCGCTGCGAACCCAGCGACCAGAGTTCGATTCCCGCTGGTGGTCAACACCGCTAACGATTATCCTGGGCCTCCCCTAGGTCGACTCGGCCTCAAATGAGCACCTGGTGTAGCGGTGTGTAGTAAACATCGCCATGGGGGAGACAAAGGCGGCCGGGCGTGGTGCTGGCCACCCACCCCCCTCGTGTGCCGTGCCAACAATCTGTTACGGGCTATCCCGTGGATCTTTGCCTCCTGTGTATGTGTATCTGTGTGTACACGTGTCTATGTGTGTTGTACCCGTGTGTACAGGCGAGCGAGTACTGGGTGACATTGAGCTCGCTGACTGATCCGTTAAGGCTACACGGGTGGGGGGATCTTTGTTCTTGTCTTTGCAGGACCCACAAGAAGGAGAGGCTAAGATCAAAGAGGATTATGCCAAGCTGTACGATGACATGCAGACAGCCTTCCGTGGCTTAGAAGATTAAACACGCACGCACGTATTACACACATGTACACGCGCACGTAAACACATTCACACGCAAGTACACACATGTACACACGCACGTACACGCATTCACGCGCGCATTAAAATATATGTTCACAGATACACATTCACACGCGAGCACGCAAACACAGCTGCAATGGTTTCACAATCGCACACGCACAGTGATACGGTTTAGACTGCATAACGCTTTGTAGCGCAAAACTAACACAATTACGATCTGCGCCATCAAAATTAAGAGATGAATATATAACGAGAACACGCAGGAAAAATAATGATAAAGTGAGAGTAAGGAAATTAAATATATGTATATGTTGCAACCGTGCATTTGCCTGCAGTAAATTTTAGTCACGTTTTACGATTGTGTAGATGTGAGCTTCACACCCTCCCCCGGAGGGTAGGAGGAGGACCACCCCTCGTGTACACACTCCCGCGGTGTGTGTGTGTGTGACCGCGCACGGATCGCGATACACACCCAGCACGATCCTGCGGCTGTGCTGGATGTCCCCGTTCCTTCATTCCAACGCGTCTCCTGTCCCCTGTGTCACCTCTCTACCACGTGGGTGGTGTGTCTCACGCTCCCCACCCTCCGCCACGTGTCTCGCTCCCTCGGTTGTTACGCGGCTGTCATCGGTTAGGACTCGTCGACCCTGTGCGGGTTCCACTCTTAAGCCGTTCGCCCCCCCGGGGAGAGGGTGATGGATGTTCGTTCGTGCGTACGTACGGACGTTGAACTTTAGTGCCGGTACCTAGTTGGCCAGCCGCGGCTCGTCGGAGATGCCGGGTAGGGGGAGGACGGAAGGACGACGAACTTAAACATGAAAAGGCCGTGCTGGAGAAATAAGTCGTCAATCTGGCCGATGATTTAAAAGCGCCCGTGGCTCCCTGTGGCTTCCTCGCTATCGAAATTGAAGAGCGTTCCCCGGACGGGGCCCCTCGCAAAGAAGGGCAACCTGAAAGCGCCGAGCGACGCGGTCGCCGCCTTTGTTCGACGGGTTGGCCAAAAGCCGCTGCTGCGGGGGCGACCGGAGTTTTGCCTGATGGTCGGCGCTCCTTGATTTGTCATTCATTGTCGCGGGCCGTGGGTGCGGACGGCGTCCGTACGTTCGAGTCTCGCGCCGGCACGTAACGTGGCCAACCGTGGCCGATCGGGGGTGCCGGGAAAGGGGGAGGGCGGAAGGACGACGAACCTGAACGCAAAAAGCAGTTCCGAAGAAATGGGTTCTCAATCCGGACGATGATTTTAACGGTGCGCGTGGTTCGCCAAACATGGAAATCGAACAGCGTTTCAGGCGGCCCGCAGCGAAGGAAAGGGGGTCGAGAGATGTCATTTGTCGTCGTGGTTGTGGTGGTGGTGTCTTTGAGATGGTCCAAGGCAGCTCGGTTTCCCCCCCCCCCCACCCCTCTTCCCCTCCGTGTTTTGAGAATTTCCGTCAATAAACGTCTATCCTCCCCTCCAGGAGTCTACAGAGTTGTCCGTGGGCGTCCCATCGGCCGCCCGCGTTGTTTCGGGCGTTGGGCCCGCTGCTGCTGTGAATGTTCCACGCTTGAGCTGGGCCAGCTCGCTTCTGATAAAGAAGCTTTCAGCTCGGCCGGCTTCATTGCCCTGTCGTGAAGCCGACACGCGGTGGCCTATGCCCAGGCTTGGATCCTGAGGCTGGAGCTCCGTCCCCTCTCCTCGTGCCGTCTCCTTTTATACCTCCCAAGCCTCCCTTGGAAGCTTCCATCAACCCCACTCCCTTTGGCCGGCAATCCTGAGCCTTCCCCAACCAACGGTTTGCGCTCCTAGTGAGGGATTAGCGTGATTGTTAATGTGAGAACTTAGAAGGCACGGAAGTGGCTATGTTAAAGTGAGGGATTAGCATGATGTAATGTGAGATATTAGCATGATATTAATGTAAGAACAAAGAGTGGTGCAATCCAAAGGCATGAGAGTGCAATCCAAAGGACATGTGAGCATGAGAGTGTAATCTAAAGGACATGTGAGTATGAGAGTGTGATCCAAAGGACATGTGAGTATGAGAGTGTAATCTAAAGGACATGTGAGTATGAGAGTGTGATCCAAAGGACATGTGAGCATGAGAGTGCAATCCAAAGGACATGTGAGCATGAGAGTGTGATCCAAAGGACATGTGAGCATGAGAGTGCAATACAAAGGACATGTGAGCATGAGAGATCTAAGAGAGAGGCTTAGAGAGAGAGAGACACACACATAGAGTCGGAAATAACAGCTGACAGGCAGGTAGGATGGAAGCTAGCTAAGTTTCCAGCTGTCCCAACGGCGTCCTGCAAGTCCGCCTTTTGTTGTAACCTTTCAAATATTTCCTCCAATACATTTCGATATTCGTCTCGCCACCAATCGCCGTGGACGTGACGGCGCAAACAAAAAAAAATTTGAATTTTTTTTTTAAAACTCATTCGCCACGTTAACCCAATTTCGGGGACGTACCGGTGACGTCACGGCTCGCCGCTCTAGGATGACGTCACGAGCCCAACATTTAAAAAAAGCGAACGCCGCGGTTTGTCCGGGAACCCGCCGTGATGCCGTGACGTCACATTGTTCATTCAACTCAGCTTACGCAGCGTGCTGCGTGACGTAATCGAGGCGGTATGCAAACGAGATATACGCGACGATGATGCGACGTCACGCACGGTTGGCGGGACGTCACGCTGTTCATTCAAGGAGCTCAAATGACTCGCCGGGAGCGTGTGCCGTGACGTAATTGCCGCGGTATGCAAATGAAATATACGCGACGATGATGTGACGTCACGCACGCAGTGTACGTACTCGTCGGGAGCGTGTGCCGTGACGTAATCGACGCGGTATGCAAATGAGGTTTCCTCGACGGTGAGATGACGTCACGCCCCCTGTTGGCGGGACGGACGGACGGGACCCTGAAAGATGTCTTCCTTCGTGACCGAGGTTCTCGTTTCGGCGGGCAAACTGGAGAAGGAGGATTTATCGACGAAAATCAGCAAACTCTCTCGGCGCGTCGACGATGTCAAGGTGGGAACATTGTTGTCGTTAATATCCCCCTTCCAAAAAAAATATTTTAAAATAATAAGTAGGCCTCTGTCAGTGTCATCGGACTCACCGGCCTCGGATAGATGCAGCCGCCTCGCCGGGGTGCAGAGAACCCGGCGAGAGATTTATGGAAGAGAGGGGGGGGGGTGGCCCGTGACTCGGTCTCCCTCAGGTAAATATTTATGTTTTTTTACACTAAATTAATGTCGTTAAAGTATCTCGTCTCCGTTGTTATTCACGTTGACGGTTAGGTGTCGTGTGCTACAGTGATAGCCGAGTCGCGTCTGAAAAATCAGCTCAGGGGGTTTTACCTGATAAAGTAAAAGTGGTCCAGTTTTAATCGTGTATTGTTTAAAATGATTTGTTAACCTCTCCTAGCTTCCTTGGAATCTTGGCATCTCCGTCCTCAACTAAACCGACTCGATTCAAAACATCCCCCTCTACCCCTTTATCAGTGCCCCTACCTTATTGCAGACCAATTCACACCTTATTTGACTCACCCCGTGCCTCTTATAAATCCCACAGTCCCGTAAGAAGGGAGGAACACAAACGAATAGACAATCACCACTACTACACTCACCACTAGTACACTCACCACTACTACACTCACCACTAGTACACTCAACCACCCACTCACCCACCCACACACTCACCCACACACTCATACCTGTCAACCACTTATCAGTGGCTAACTTACTACAGACCAATTCAGACCTCAATGGTCACCCCGTGCCCTTATTAATCTGAACACACATCCTACAAAGTCCCATCACAAGGGAGAAACACAATCTACGTGACTTTACCGAATAGAACCAAAGAGTATGGATCCTTGCAGTCACGAAAGCTTCAAATCTAGAAAAGAAATAAATAAAATGTTGCCCGTATTGAAACGGTTGTACACCGTGTGGACCTGAAAACTCAATTTCCCTGCACAAGAATAAGGGTTGCACCGTATGAGTTGACAGGTGTGTAAAAAAAAATCACTAAAGTTGGACCACAGCGATACACTGCAACGCTCCTGACCCGGTTGTTTTCTGGGCTTGACCACCTGAATGTGAAATTGGAGTCGTTCTGCATCTACGTCAGCAGCCGAATGAAAGTGTGAATGTAATTTTACAACATAATTGCTCTTCTTTGGTTCTTTCGGTAAAGTCACGTAGAATGAGAATAAAATAATAAATTGATAAAATAAAATAACACAATAAAATTCTCACGACGTTTCGGCCACAACACAAGCGGCCTTCATCAGGTGAAGGGACGAGACTGTCTGGTAGGACAGCGCTGTCCTACCAGACAGTCTCGTCACCTGATGAAGGCCGCTTGTGTTGTGGCCGAAACGTCGTGAGAATATTATTGTGTTATTTTATTTTATCAATTTATTATTTTATTCTCATTCTACATGACTTTACCGAAAGAACCAAAGAAGATGAATCATTGCAGTCACGAAAGCTTTAAATCGAAACATAATTGCTCTCATGAAGTTTTTTGTTGTGGAAGATCTGTAATGGTTTTGATGCCGTCTGCCGACCTGAGTCACCCTTTGATAAAGAGCTTCTCAGCTCATCGGCTTTCCTTACTCGGTGGGCAATAAACTTGCCCATTCTGATGTACCCCCGAGAGAGAGACCAAAAAAAACACAAATATTCCCCGTGTAGCCTTAACAGACTGTTAGGGCAAGTGCTGTTAGCGAGCACCTATGAAGGCCGGAACGGTACACGAGGAGGTGGGTGGCCAGCACCACGACCAACCGCCTTTGTCTCCCCAGTGGCAATGTTTACACACTGCACCAGGTACTCATTTGAGGCTGAGTCGACCTAGGGGAGGCACAGGACCGGTTCAGATAATCGTCACTGGTGATGGGACCGTGAGCGAGAATCGAACCCGGGTTGATGGGTTCATAGCGCAACGTGCTAACTGCTTCACTACTGAGGGAGACACACACACGACACACAGATAATTTCACATACAGATGATTACACACTGCAACAGGTACTCATTTGAGGCTGAATCGACCTAGGGGAGGTCCAGGACCGGTTCAGATAATCGTCACTGGTGTTGGCCGTGAGCGGAAATCAAAATCCGGGTCGCCGGGTTCATAGTGCAGCGTAGCGCTAACCGCTACACCACCGAGAGAGAGCAAAGACACACACCCACAGATGGCAGGGCTCAAAATCCCGACCTCACTTGTGCCCACTCAGCGTCTCTTAACGTGACCGTTAAGCTGTACTCCATTAATATTCATTTACCATGCATTCTGCCGCAGATTCATTCAATCTCGTGACAGCTGTAACAGGATCCTGTTACAGCTGTAACAGGATAGAAAGCTCGTTTGTTCGTCTGTACCTCAGTCCGCTTGTCCTCGTGAGGGTTATGGTGGCGGCGGTAGCGTGTTGAGTAGTGGTGGTTCACACCTCCCTTTCCCTGGCGACGGACTCCAGCACTACATTACTATACACTACACTCTAGACTACTATACACTACTACACTACTATACACTACTATACGCTATACACTACTATACGCTATACACTACTATACGCTATACACTACTACACTACACTATACACTTACACTACTATACACAACTACACTACACTCTACACTACTATACACTACTATACACTATACACTACTACACTATACACTTACACTACTATACACAACTACACTACTATACACTACTATACTATACACTACACTACTATACACTACACACTACACTACTATACACTACTATACGCTATACACTACTACACTATACACTTACACTACTATACACAACTACACTATACACTACACTACTGTACACTATACACTACACGATTATACACTACTACACTATTATACGCTACACTATTATACACTACACTATACACTACTACACTATACACTGCTATACACACTCGAGCTCTTCCTGGGGAATTCTCAGGTGTTTCCAGGCCAGCCGAGCGACATCGTCCTGCCAGTAGCGTGTCCTTGACCAGTGAGGGGTGTGCCGGCATCCTTACCAAGGTGCCCGAACCACCTCAACTGGCTCGGTGTAACAGCGCGAGTCACCCGACCCACCTCTCTTTTAACGCGACCCCTCGCGTTCTCCCCCGATGTCTGCGGGCCAGGGAGAGGTGTTCGACCTGGTGGCCAAAAAGTTCAAGACCTTCTCTCCCACCCTCGTCTCCTCCGAAGCCCTCGCCACCCAAGTGCAGGGCGTCTGCAATGACCTCGACTCCCTGCGAGCCAGAGTTCAGCAGCAGGTGAGTGCCGCGCGGCGAGTGAGCGGCGGAGCGGCGGTGCAGCGGTCAGCGCGGCGCCGCTGCTTGCGAACCCAGGCGAGCCGAGGTTCGATTCCCGCTCACGGCCAACGCCGGTGGCGGATATCTGAACCCGTCCCGGGCCTCCCCCTCGGTCGACTCGGCCTCAAACGAGTACCTGATGCGGTGGCGTGTAAAAACATCGCCTCGAGGGAGACAGAGGCGGTTGGGCGTGGCGTTGGCAAACCCACACCCCCCTCGTGTGCCGTGCCGGCCTTCATAGGTGGTGCTGCTACTCGCTAACAGCACTTGCCCCTACAGTCTGTTAAGGCTACACGGGGGGATTTTGAGTTTTTTGGAGAGTATTCCAGTTGTGGTGCAGTCTGTAACGTCGGCGCCGTGTTGAAAGCGTTGCATGGTGGTGGTGGCGGATATATGTGTGGATGTTGAGTACCAGGTGCAGTGTGTGTAAACATCGCCACTGGGGAGACAAAGGCGTGGTGCTGGTCACCCACCCCCTCGTGTGCCGTGCCGGCCTTCATAGGTGCTGCTACTCGCTAACAGCACTTGCCATAACAGTCTGTTACAGGCTATATGGGGGATCTTCGTTTTGTGTGTGCCTGCAGCTCAAATGCACGGTAGGGGGTCACAGCGGGTGCATCTGCCGGTCGTCATCTCATTCAGTCAACCCCATGGCACCTGGGTCTGTCCCCCGTGACCTCCTGCCAGCAGCGAGCCTCCGACAGTTCACGCGGCCTCGAGGCGCACCTAGCCTGGCACCGGCGCCACGTTGACGTCGCCGCCACTTGGCGGCGAACGGCAGTTGCGGTCGTTGCGTCTCGCCATCTCCCCACGTGCGTGGCTAGGTACGCGGGGAGGCTCACAACGCCATCACGGAATTCTCGAGCCTGCGGGAGCATCTGGAGAGCACCAACGCGGTGCTGTGCACGCTCAAGCAGCTGCACAAGGTAACGGTCGAAGTGCCTCCTGGCGCGGGTGGTACAACGGAAGCGGACTGCGACGGGATCGCCGATCCGGCTGATGCAGGTGTAATGGCAACTTGGAAGCACTTGCCTTGAGACGGCTTGTTTTATTAAGGAGCCGCGTGCTCACACTGGGAACAGACGGAGACCCTCACTGCAACAGCCCTGAGTCTCCCACGCATCTCCCTTATACACGGTCTGAGGCCACGCCCCCGTTCCCGAACCTTCTAGCTGGTTCTAGACCGCTCGCTCCACCAGCAGACTCCAACGTCCTCTTCCGTCACCTGGCCACGCTCTTATTCTCGATCATTCCCGCAGCCACCAGTCCACTCGTACCGCAGCTGACTCCCCTGTCATTACCTCCCGTGGCCACCAGTCCACTCGCACTGCAGCTGACTCCCCTGTCATTACCTCCCGTGGCCACCAGTCCACTCGCACTGCAGGCCGACTCCCCTGTCATTACCTCCCGTGGCCACCAGTCCACTCACACCGTAGGTTGACTCGACTGTCATTATACAGGGACTCCTCTATCCGCGAACGAGTTAGGTTCCAGAGGTTACTGTTCGTAAGTCCATTTGTTCCTAAGTCCCAAATTTACTCCCGTCGATTCCAAATGCGTTGTGCGGCGTGGACACTAAACATACATGGGGGAATTGCTTTACAAGTTGCTAAATCTCCTGCAGACATAGATGCCACCGGTTCTTCATGTTCTGAGGATGTAGATGCCACCGGTTCTTCACGTTCTGCAGATGTAGATGCCACTGGTTCTTCACGTTCTGCAGATGTAGATGCCACTGGTTCTTCACGTTCTGCAGATGTAGATGCCACTGGTTCTTCACGTTCTGTAGAAGTAGATGCCGCTGGTTCTTCACGTTTTGTAGATGTAGATGCCGCTGGTTCTTCACGTTCTGTAGATGTAGATGGCACTGGTTCTTCACTTTCTGCAGATGTATATGCCACTGGTTCTTCACGTTCTGCAGATGTAGATGCCACTGGTTCTTCACGTTCTGTAGAAGTAGATGCCGCTGGTTCTTCACGTTCTGTAGATGCCGCTGGTTCTTCACTTTCTGCAGATGTAGATGCCACTGGTTCTTCACGTTCTGTAGATGTAGATGCCACTGGTTCTTCACTTTCTGCAGATGTAGATGCCACTGGTTCTTCACGTTCTGCAGATCTAGATGCCACTAGTTCTTCACTTTCTGCAGATGTAGATGCCACTGGTTCTTTACGTTCTTTAGATGTAGATGCCACTGGTTCTTCATGTTCTGCAGATGTAGTTGCCAGTGGTTCTTCACGTTCTGCAGATGTAGATGCCACTGGTTCTTCACGTTCTGCAGATGTAGATGCCACTGGTTCTTCACGTTCTGTAGAAGTAGATGCCGCTGGTTCTTCACGTTCTGTAAATGTAGATGCCGCTGGTTCTTCACGTTCTGTAGATGTAGATGCCACTGGTTCTTCACTTTCTGCAGATGTAGATGCCACTGGTTCTTCACGTTCTGCAGATGTAGATGCCACTGGTTCTTCACGTTCTGTAGAAGTAGATGCCGCTGGTTCTTCACGTTTTGTAGATGCCGCTGGTTCTTCACGTTTTGTAGATGCCACTGGTTCTTCACGTTCTGCAGATGTATATGCCACTGGTTCTTCACGTTCTGCAGATGTAGATGCCGCTGGTTCTTCACGTTCTGCAGATGTAGATGCCACTGGTTCTTCACGTTGTGCAGATGTAGATGCCACTGGTTCTTCACTTTCTGCAGATGTAGATGCCACTGGTTCTTCACGTTCTCTAGATGTAGATGCCAAATTATAAGTGCACGATTTCTGTCGTAGCAACAAAGCCGGCCCGGTGCGACGTTCAGGCCTTAACGGCGCTTGTTTAAGGTTGCACGGGGGAATGTCTCGTGTTGTCTTGTCCTCGTGTGCGTGTTCCAGGTGTACCAGTGTCTGGAGGGCTCGAGAGAGGCATTGGGCGCTCATAAATATCTGCTGTCTGCAAGAAGACTCCTCAATGTAAGCACAGGCGGTTCACAATGGCCGTGTCATAGACACTGAGCCATGTGTCTCGGTTTGAGCCCTCGGTCTTCGATGCATCTCTGTTCTTTCTTCATGTGTGTCTCTGTCTCCCCGTGTGTGTGTCTCTGTCTATCCGTGTTTGTGTGTGTCTCTGTCTCCCCGTGTGTGTCTCTATCTCCCCGTGTGTGTGTATCTGTCTCCCCGTGTGTGTGTCTGTCTCCCCGTGTGTGTGTGTGTCTGTCTCCCCGTGTGTGTGTGTGTCTCTGTCTCCCCGTGTGTGTGTGTGTCTCTGTCTCCCCGTGTGTGTGTGTGTCTCTGTCTCCTCATGTGTGTGTCTTTGTCTCCCCGTGTGTGTGTGTGTGTCTGTCTCCCCGTGTGTGTGTCTCTGTCTCCCCGTGTGTGTGTGTGTCTGTCTCCCCGTGTGTGTGTCTCTGTCTCCCCGTGTGTGTGTCTCTGTCTCCCCGTGTGTGTGTCTCTGTCTCCCCGTGTGTGTGTCTGTCTCCCCGTGTGTGTCTCTGTCTCCCCGTGTGTGTGTGTGTGTCTGTCTCCCCGTGTGTGTGTCTCTGTCTCCCCGTGTGTGTGTCTTCGTCTCCCCGTGTGTGTGTCTGTCTCCCCGTGTGTGTGTGTGTCTCTGTCTCCCCGTGTGTGTGTGTGTGTCTGTCTCCCCGTGTGTGTGTCTCTGTCTCCCCGTGTGTGTGTCTTCGTCTCCCCGTGTGTGTGTGTGTCTCCCCGTGTGTGTGTCTGTCTCCCCGTGTGTGTGTGTGCCTGTCTCCCCGTGTGTGTGTGTGCCTGTCTCCCCGTGTGTGTGTGTCTCTGTCTCCCCGTGTTTGTGTGTGTCTCTGTCTCCCCGTGTGTGTCTCTGTCTCCCCGTGTGTGTGTGTGTGTCTCTGTCTCCCCGTGTGTGTGTCTCTGTCTCCCCGTGTGTGTGTGTGTCTCTGTCTCCCCGTGTGTGTGTGTGTCTCCCTGTGTGTGTGTGTGTCTATGTCTCCCCGTATGTGTCTCTGTTTCCCCGTGTGTGTGTGTGTCTCCCCGTGTGTGTGTCTCTGTCTCCCCGTGTGTGTGTGTCTCTGTCTCCCCGTGTGTGTGTGTGTGTCTGTCTCCCCGTGTGTGTGTCTCTGTCTCCCCGTGTGTGTGTGTGTCTCTGTCTCCCCGTGTGTGTGTGTGTGTCTGTCTCCCCGTGTGTGTGTCTCTGTCTCCCCGTGTGTGTGTGTGTGTCTGTCTCCCCGTGTGTGTGTCTCTGTCTCCCCGTGTGTGTGTCTCTGTCTCCCCGTGTGTGTGTCTCTGTCTCCCCGTGTGTGTGTCTGTCTCCCCGTGTGTGTCTCTGTCTCCCCGTGTGTGTGGGTGTGTCTGTCTCCCCGTGTGTGTGTCTCTGTCTCCCCGTGTGTGTGTCTTCGTCTCCCCGTGTGTGTGTCTGTCTCCCCGTGTGTGTGTGTCTCTGTCTCCCCGTGTGTGTGTATGTCTGTCTCCCCGTGTGTGTGTCTCTGTCTCCCCGTGTGTGTGTCTCTGTCTCCCCGTGTGTGTCTCTGTCTCCCCGTGTGTGTGTGTGTGTGTCTCTGTCTCCCCGTGTGTGTGTGTGTGTCTGTCTCCCCGTGTGTCTGTATTTGCCTCCGTCCCTCCCCGTGTCTCAGGGCCAGCATGTCGTGCTGCGTGTGCTGGATGATCCGTATGTCACCCTGTGTCTCTGTGCGTCCCCGTGTCTCTCTCCGTGCGTCCCTGTGTCTCTCTCCGTGCGTCCCTGTGTCTCTCTCCGTGCGTCCCTGTGTCTTTCTCCGTGCGTCCCTGTGTCTCTCTCCGTGCGTCCCTGTGTCTCTCTCCGTGCGTCCCCGTGTCTCTCTCCGTGCGTCCCCGCGTCTCTCTCCGTGCATCCCTGTGTCTCTCTGTGCGTCCCCGCATCTCTCTCCGTGCGTTCCTGTGTCTCTCTGTGCGTCCCTGTGTCTCTCTCCATGCGTCCCCGTGTCTCTCTCCGTGCGTCCCTGTGTCTCTCTGTGCGTCCCTGTGTCTCTCTCCGTGCGTCCCCGCGTCTCTCTCCGTGCGTCCCTGTGTCTCTCTCCGTGCGTCCCCGTGTCTCTCTCCGTGCGTCCCTGTGTCTCTCTCCGTGCGTCCGTGTCTCTCTCCATGCGTCTCCGCGTCTCTCTCCGTGCGTCCCTGTGTCTCTCTCCGTGCGTCCCCGTGTCTCTCTCTGTGCGTCCCCGCGTCTCTGTCCCTGCGTTCCCCATGCATCCCCGCGTTCCTGTCCGTGCGTTTCCCCCGTGTCTCTCAGGGCCAGCGTGCCGCGCTGCGCCTGCAGGAGGACCTGGGCAGGGACGTGCGGCTGCTGGCGGTCGTGCAGTCTGAGCTGGTGACGCAGCGAGAGAACCTCATCAACCACCTCAACGATGAGTGGAGGCAACGCGTCGTGTGGGCCGTGCCTCCCGGCAAGGGTGCGTGTGTCGGTGGGGTGGGTGAGGGTGGGGTAGGTGGGTAAGGGTTTGTGGGTAGGTGAGGGTGGGGTAGGTGGGTAGGTGAGGGTGGGGTAGGTGGGTAGGTGAGGGTGGGGTAGGTGGGTAAGGGTTTGTGGGTAGGTGAGGGTGGGGTAGGTGGGTAGGTGAGGGTGGGGTAGGTGGGTAGGTGAGGGTGGGTATGTGGGTAGGTGAGGGTGGGGTAGGTGGGTAGGTGAGGGTGGGTATGTGGATAGGTGAGGGTGGGGTAGGTGGGTAGGTGAGGGTGGGGTAGGGGGGTAGGTGAGGGTGGGGTAGGTGGGTAGGTGACGGTGGGGTAGGTGAGGGTGGGGTAGGTGGGTAGGTGGGTAGGTGAGGGTGGGGTAGGTGGGTAGGTGAGCGTGGGTATGTGGGTAGGTGAGGGTGGATTTGTGGATAGGTGAGGGTGGTGGACTTGTGGGATGAGTGTGGATGGGTGAGTGAGTGTGGGCGGGCGAGCGAGTGTAGGTGAGCGAGTGTGGGCGGGCGAGCGAGTAAGTCAGTGGACGAGCGAGTGAGTGTCTCCCCCTTCCGCCCCCACGTCGTCTCTTACCCCCCCCCCCATCCCCTTTGGGTCCCCCCTCCTCTGCCCCTGCAGAGCTGACCAGCGTGGAGCAATGCCTGCACACGCAGCTTCGCCTGCTGGGACCGGGAGTCACCCGGGAGGAGTCGAGGGGTAGAGAGCCACCCTCATCCCCCTCCTCCTCCCCCTTCATCGTCTCCACCACCACTGCCACGTCATCGCCGCCGTTGTCGCTGGCCGCCATCCTCGCCGCCTACGGCGCGCTGGGGCTCCTGCACAAGAAGCTGAGACGATTCGGTTCGTCGGTGGCGCGTGGGGAGGGGAGAGGCGGCGGTGGTGAAGGTGGCGGTGATGGTGGTGGTAGTGGTGATGACGATGGTGGTGACGGTGGAGGTGGTGATGGTAGTGGTGACAATTGTGGTGGTGGTAATGGTAGATATTGTGGTGGTGGTGATAGTCGTGATGAAGATGGTAGTGACGAAGGTGGAGGTGGTGATGATGGTGATGGTAAGATTGTGGTAGTGGTGATGGTGGTGATGATGGTGGTGATGGTAGTGGTGGTAATGGTTGTGGTAATTGTAGAGATTGTGGTAGTGGTGGCGGTGGTGATAGTGGTGATGATGATGGTGGTAACGAAGGTGGAGGTGGTAATGGTAATGGTAGAGATTGTTTTGGTTGCGGTGGTGGTGATAATTGTGGTGGTGGTCATGGTCGAGATTGTGGTAGTGGTGATGGTGGTGATGAAGATGGTGGTGACGAAGGTGGAGGTGGTGATGGTAGTGGTGGTAATGGTAGAGATTGTTGTGGTTGCGGTGGTGGTGATAATTGTGGTGGTGGTGGTCATGGTCGAGATTGTGGTAGTGGTGATGGTGGTGATAGTTGTGATGAATATGTTTGTGATGAAGATGGTGGTGTTAATTCGAGAGATAATCGTATTAATTTATGCGAGCGGGTGTGATAATGCCTATGCGAGCCGTTATGATGATTAGGCCCCGCCTCGCTGACAAGGGTCGTATCATCAATCAGGATAATACAATTAATCTTTATTAAGTTATGCAGGTGTGCTATAAGTATGTCAGAGTAAGCTCCGCTTTATTGTTTAGGTCCGTATTAACGCTCGCTAATACAATTATTCTCGCTTTAACATTTACTGAGTGTATTAGTGTGTTTCTGTCAGGTCTCCAAATTCAGATCTCAACGCAGGATACAGTTCTTGTAAATAAGATTATTATGCATGAAACAGGAAGGAAACTCACCAAACTTCTGTGTTTAAGCAATTTATTCTAAATGAAACCTTAACTCTCATATAATATGCGAACTCTCAATCTTGGAATTTTCAACACAGTATCGATACAGTAACCATCAACGATTGCGTTGTTTCACTTTGGCAACTGCACATGTGATTGATTCCACCGCGTAACGCGAGCTTAATTGGTGATTGAGTCGTTGAAACATGCCTGCACGCTATTCTAAACCAAAAAACCTTAACAGTCTTATATGCAAATTCTTGTTCTTGAAATTGCCCACACACTACTGCAGGAGAAGTTCCGCTCATGGGTCCGTCTCTTCAATGATCACGTTTGTCAACTGGGTGACAGAACAATGGATTATTCCTCAAGAGTACGCGAGCACACACGGCGATGGGAACAAAAAGTCCTTAAAAATTCATGCAATGATATTCATACGAGGGGAAATAAAGAAACATGTCCCGAAGGCAAGAGTAGTTATCAATTAATTCATTGGCAAGATAATGCTAAATTTTGATTTAAAGCTTTCGTGACTGCAGTAATTCATATTCTTAGTTTTTTCGGTAAAGTCACGTTGAAGAGAAACAACAAAATAACAAAATATATATAAAACAATAAAAAATTCTCACGACGTTTCGACCATAACTCAAACGGTCATCATCAGGTGTGTCGGTTTGCATAAATTTATTTTGAAAACGGCATATTTATTTATATATATACAAAAAATAACGTTTGCGTCACGCGCAGCGATTGGCAGTTTGCCCAGGACTAGTCCATCTATTTTTTTAAAAGAGGAGGGGGGAGACGAAATTTGTTTTTATGTATGCTGTCTGAAAGCCACTGTAAGCGTGAACAATCAATCAAGAACTGAAATGATTTATCAAATCTTTCCAATGATTGCTAAGATAGAATCCATCTTCTCGGTTGAAATTGTCTCTGTGCTTGTATATGTGGATAGCCTCATGAACGAATCTCTCATGGAAGCCAGATGGCTTACAAAGAACCTCCGTCTTGGAAAAGTCAATGGCATGTGAGCCTACTGAATTAGAACAATGATCTGCTACGGCCGAGGTGTTGCTCCTACCGTGTTTAAGGTCTGCTTTATGTTCACGAATGTGGTCCGAGATATGGCGTTTGGTTTCTCCAATGTAACTACTACCACAGAGGCAACTTAGTTTGTAGACACCAGGGTATTGTATGTCCGGAATCACATCTTTTACAGACGGAACCAGATCACGGATTTTATGTAATGTGTTGAAACGGACCTGGATCTTGTGTTTATTCAAGATTTTGGAGATCTTTTTTGTGATCCCAGCAATGTAGGGTAAAGTGATGGTTTTGAAAGGCTCCTCAAGAGGGTTCTTCTTCATGGTTTGAGTGATAGCTTTGCGGATTGTATAGTCGGAGTAACCATTAGCCCTAAGAGCTTGGTGTACGTGCTTGAGTTCACTGCTTATGTGTTCCTGGTCGGATATGCATTGGGCTCTATGATACAGAGTCTTGATGAGAGAATTCTTCTGTGATGGATGGTGGTGGGAATCCGGTTTCAGATAAGCATCCGTATGGGTAGCTTTCCTGTAGACAGAGTGGCTCATTGAACCATCAGGTCTCTTTTTAATTAGGACATCCAAAAAAGGTATCTTGCCATCTATTTCGACTTCCATGGTAAATCTGATGGCTGGGTGTATGGAATTGATGTGGTCGAAGAATTGGTCTAGAGCAGGCCGGCCATGTGGCCAGATGACAAAAGTGTCATCCACGTACCTCTTCCATAAGGTTGAAGAAGAACCCTCTTGAGGAGCCTTTCAAAACCATCACTTTACCCTACATTGCTGGGATCACAAAAAAGATCTCCAAAATCTTGAATAAACACAAGATCCAGGTCCGTTTCAACACATTACATAAAATCCGTGATCTGGTTCCGTCTGTAAAAGATGTGATTCCGGACATACAATACCCTGGTGTCTACAAACTAAGTTGCCTCTGTGGTAGTAGTTACATTGGAGAAACCAAACGCCATATCTCGGACCGCATTCGTGAACATAAAGCAGACCTTAAACACGGTAGGAGCAACACCTCGGCCGTAGCAGATCATTGTTCTAATTCAGTAGGCTCACATGCCATTGACTTTTCCAAGACGGAGGTTCTTTGTAAGCCATCTGGCTTCCATGAGAGATTCGTTCATGAGGCTATCCACATATACAAGCACAGAGACAATTTCAACCGAGAAGATGGATTCTATCTTAGCAATCATTGGAAAGATTTGATAAATCATTTCAGTTCTTGATTGATTGTTCACGCTTACAGTGGCTTTCAGACAGCATACATAAAAACAAATTTCGTCTCCCCCCTCCTCTTTTAAAAAAATAGATGGACTAGTCCTGGGCAAAATGCCAATCGCTGCGCGTGACGCAAACGTCATTTTTAAATATAAATAAATAAATAAATATGCCGTTTTCGAAATAAATTTATGCAAACCGACACACCTGATGATGACCGTTTGAGTTATGGTCGAAACGTCGTCAGAATTTTTTATTGTTTTATATATATTTTGTTATTTTGTTGTTTCTCTTCAACGTGACTTTACCGAAAAAACTAAGAATAAGATAATGCTAATTAACAAAAAACGAATGACTGGAATACTTCTACAATCGTATTCATGTAACTCGACGGGCAGCAATGTTCTTCACGATCAGTTGATATTTAACGCACCACCTTGGAATGGCAACCCCTTCTCGAAACACAAAGATAACTTTTTGGAACAATCTTATTTCTCCCGATGTGCGTGTCGTGTGTCTTCTTTTGCCACCTGTTCAATTCTTTGCGCAAAGCAGACGCAGAGGTTGGGCATCCCTTGCATCAAAAATGCGTTTGTTCCCTGCCGAGCGGTGGCGGTGTGAGGTTGTGTGTGTGTGTGTATCATACGGACAGCTTGGCAACTCCCTCTTTCACACGGGCGGCCACAGTTTCTGTCCACAGCCGGCCGGAAGAGTCGGCACGACGCTCGCCGTCGGTCGGGGTTTTTCCCTCCACGTGTAGAATCGACATCACGCGTTTATATTTTGCTGCCGCTCACCATTTTCACGTGGTGGTGGTGGTGACGATGATGGCGATGGTAAGCTCACTTCGTTGTGCCATCAATTGTGATAGCCAGGGTCGCTTCCGAAAAAGAGCCACATAGCTCAGTGAGAGTTGCCTTACCTGGTAATAATAACCGTTAATAATAACCGTTAACTTTTAGTTATGAATGGTCGTGAATAGTTATGAATGTTTAAAATTGCCTTCGTGCGCAGTGGAACCTCTGCACTCCTTCATTCTGCGTCCCCTCATCGTCTTCCCGGGTCTGGCCGTGAGCGCGGCCGACAACACCCTGAGCCTCGTCTCCTCGTCCACCTCCTCGTCCGTGTCATCCTCCACCTCATCGGACCCAGCCTGCACCTTCGCCGCCCTCCTCCAGGCGCTCACCTTCGTCCATCAGCACATGCTGGGTGAGGCGTGACGACATCATCGTCGTCGTCGTCGTCATCATCATCCGCCCTGTGTCTCTCTCTCTCTCGCCACGTCTCTCCCCCCCTCACCGAGTCCCTCCCCCACTCCTCACCCCCCCCACGTCTCGCTCCTCACCCTGCATCTCCCCACCCTGCATCTCCCCACCCCATGCCTCCCTCACCCAGTCTCTCCGTCTCTCATCAACCCACGCATATCCCTCCTCACCCTGCACCTCCTCACCCAGAGTCTCTCCCTCTCTCCGTATCCCTCACCTCCTCGCGTCTCGCTCCTCACCCTGCGCCTCCTCACCCCATGTCTCCCTCACCCAGCGTCTCTCTCCCTCTCTCCTCACCCCCACGTCTCCCTCCTCACCTTCCGATTAGCACAGTTGGCTACGTACGGTGCCAAAGAAGTTCAGCGTACAGTGAGGGAAAAAAGTATTTGATCCCCTGCTGATTTTGTACGTTTGCCCACTGACAAAGAAATGATCAGTCTATAATTTTAATGGTAGGTTTATTTGAACAGCGAGAGACAGAATAACAACAACAAAATTCCGAAAAACGCATGTCAAAAATGTAATAAATTGATTTGCATTTTAATGAGGGAAATAAGTATTTGACCCCCTCTCAATCAGAAAGATTTCTGGCTCCCAGGTGTCTTTTATACAGGTAACGAGCTGAGATTAGGAGCACACTCTTAAAGGGAGTGCTCCTAATCTCAGCTTGTTACCTGTATAAAAGACACCTGTCCACAGAAGCAATCAATCAATCAGATTCCAAACTCTCCACCATGGCCAAGACCAAAGAGCTCTCCAAGGATATCAGGGACAAGATTGTAGACCTACACAAGGCTGGAATGGGCTACAAGACCATTGCCAAGCAGCTTGGTGAGAAGGTGACAACAGTTGGTGCGATTATTCGCAAATGGAAGAAAACCAAAAGAACTGTCAATCTCCCTCGGCCCGGGGCTCCATGCAAGATCTCACCTCGTGGAGTTGCAATGATCATGAGAACGGTGAGGATTCAGCCCAGAACTACACGGGAGGATCTTGTCAATGATCTCAAGGCAGCTGGGACCATAGTCAGCAAGAAAACAATTGGTAACACACTACGCCGTGAAGGACTGAAATCCTGCAGCACACGCAAGGTCCCCCTGCTCAAGAAAGCACATATACATGCCCGTCTGACGTTTGCCAATGAACATCTGAATGATTCAGAGGACAACTGGGTGAAAGTGTTGTGGTCAGATGAGACCAAAATGGAGCTCTTTGGCATCAACTCAACTCGCCGTGTTTGGAGGAGGAGGAATGCTGCCTATGCTGCCCAAGAACACCATCCCCACCGTCAAACATGGAGGTTGAAACATTATGCTTTGGGAGTGTTTTTCTGCTAAGGGGACAGGACAACTTCACCGCATCAAAGGAACGATGGACGGGGCCATATAACGTCAAATCTTGGGTGAGAACCTCCTTCCCTCAGCCAGGGCATTGAAAATAGGTCGTGGATGGGTATTCCAGCATGACAATGACCCAAAACACACGGCCAAGGCAACAAAGGAGTGGCTCAAGAAGAAGCACATTGAGGTCCTGGAGTGGCCTAGCCAGTCTCCAGACCTTAATCCCATAGAAAATCTGTGGAGGGAGCTGAAGGTTCGAGTTGCCAAACGTCAGCCTCGAAACCTTAATGACTTGGAGAAGATCTGCAAAGAGGAGTGGGACAAAATCCCTCCTGAGATGTGTGCAAACCTGGTGGCCAACTACAAGAAACGTCTGACCTCTGTGATTGCCAACAAGGGTTTTGCCACCAAGTACTAAGTCATGTTTTGCAGAGGGGTCAAATACGTATTTCCCTTATTAAAATGCAAATCAATTTATAACAATTTTGACATGCGTTTTTCTGGATTGTGTTGTTGTTATTCTGGCTCTCACTGTTCAAATAAACCTACCATTAAAATTATAGACTGATCATTTCCTTGTCAGTGGGCAAACGTACAAAATCAGCAGGGGATCAAATACTTTTTTCCCTCACTGTACATCAGCTGAAGCAGCAGCAGCAGCATCGTCGTCGTCGTCGTCATCATCATCATGGGCATCTTCATCGTCATCAGCGGCATCGTCATGAGCGTCATCATCAGCAGCAATCATATTATCATCATAATAATAATCATCATCATCGTCATAAATTTCAGCATCATCATTGTCAGCAGCATTATTAGCATGATGAACATCGTCATCAGCAGCATCAGCCAATCATCGCCGATTTCATCGTCAATCGTATTCAGCGTCGTCATCGGTATCAGCCATCGTTACCGTCATCCTCATCACCATCGATCGCCCCGTCTCCTCTTCGCAGCCGTTCCCCCGAACGAGCCCGGCCTCGTGAGCAACGGGGACGGTGATGGGGACGACGGTGACGACGGCGGCGGTGACGGTGACGACGGCGGTGACGGTGACGATGACGGCGATGGCGGCGGCGGCGACAGCGTTGCGTCCGTGATGGGCTCCCTGCTGTGGGAGCCCCTGTGTGAGACGCTCATCCAGCACTGCCTCCTCGCCAGCGTTCCCTCGGACCACGCCGGCCTGCAGGCCTACACGGAGGTGTGTTGTGGCGTCGCTCGCAAAAAAAAACACATCCCCCCCACACGCGGACACGCACACACAAATAATCCACCGTATTGGCTTAACAGACTGTCGGGGCAAGTGCTGTTAGCGAGCAGCAGCACCTGTGAAGGCCGGCACGGCACACGAGCTGGTGGGTGGCCAGGATCACGCTCGACCGCCTTTGTCTCCCCGGTGGCGATGTTTGCTACACACCGCTGCACCGGGTACTCGTTCGAGGTTGAGTCGACCTACGGGAGGCACACATGACCGGGTCGGGTAATCGTCACCGGTGTTGATTGACCATGAGCGGGAATCGAACTCGGTTCGTAGCGCAGCGTCGCGCTAACCGCTGCTACACCACCGCACACGCGCAGGTGCGTGACGCACACACACACGCAGGTATACGTCACACACACGCAGGTGTGTGTGACGCACACACGCAGGTAAACGTCACACACACGCAGGTAAACGTCACACACACGCAGGTAAACGTCACACACACGCAGGTAAACGTCACACACACGCAGGTATACGTCACACACACGCAGGTGTGACGCACACACGCAGGTAAACGTCACACACATGCAGGTATACGTCACACACACGCAGGTGCGTGACGCACACACGCAGGTATACGTCACACACACGCAGGTATACGTCACACACGCGCAGGTAAACGTCACACACACGCAGGTGTGACGCACACACGCAGGTAAACGTCACACACATGCAGGTATACGTCACACACACGCAGGTGCGTGACGCACACACGCAGGTATACGTCACACACACGCAGGTATACGTCACACACGCGCAGGTAAACGTCACACACACGCAGGTGTGACGCACACACGCAGGTAAACGTCACACACATGCAGGTATACGTCACACACGCGCAGGTGTGTGACGCACACACGCAGGTATACGTCACACACACGCAGGTAAACGTCACACACACGCAGGTGCGTCACACACACACGCAGGTGCGTCACACACACACGCAGGTGTGTCACACTCACGCAGGCGGCGTCGAACGCACACAGGCACACTCCCGCGTGACGCGCACACGGAGGCGGTGCGCTTGGTACGCGTGTGCCAGCACAACGAAGACGCCGCGTCCGGGGCTGCCGCCTCACCGCCTCACCGCCTCACCGCCTCACCGCCTCACCGCCTCACCGCCGCCCCGCAGGTCATCGACGCTACCGGCTCGTTTGAGCGCTCGCTGCTGTCCCTGGGGCTGCTGTCGAGCGAGTCGACGGCGCTGCTGTCGTACGCCCGCGACGTCAACGCCCACTTCTCCGGCAAGAAGTGCCGTGACGGCGTGGTGCGCGCCCGCTCGCTCATGGTCGCTCCGCTGCACGACACCGTCAAGGTGACGTGCACGCGGTCACGCGGACACACGCGGACACAGACACGGACACACGCACACGCGGACACACGGACACACGGACACACACGCACACGGACAGACACACGGACACACAGACACACGCACACACGCACACGGACACACACACACACGCACACGGACAGGCACACGGACAGGCACACGGACACACACGGACACACACGGATACACGGACACACAGACACACGGACACACGGACACACACGGACACACGCACACGAACAGGCACACGGACACACGGACACACAGACACACGGACACACGAACACACAGACACACGGACACACGCACACGGACACACGCACACGGACACAGGCAAGGACGCAGGCAAGGACGCGCTCATGGACACACGCGCACACAAGACGCGTAGACACGCGCTCGCTCATGATCGCTCCACTGCATGACGCCGTGAAGGTGACGCGCACGCAGACACACGGACACACACGGACACACACGGACACACACATGGACACACACACACGGACACACGCACGGACACACATGCAAGGACACACGTGGATACACACACGGACAAAGACACGCAGACGCGCTCACGCTCGCTCATAATCTCTCCACTGCAAGACAGTCAAGGTGACATGCGCACGGACACAGACACACGCGCGTGTGCGCACAGACGGCGAGAGACGCTGACAGACAGACAGACAGACTTACTCGCAGGCAGGGACAGAGAGAGGCATTGAGACAGATGGTGGGGGGAGACACTCACGGGCTGCACGCAGCTAGAGATGGACAGGTGGACGCGCACGGGGGACGAGCGGACGGAGAAAGAGACGGAGGGGTTTACTCGCGGAGAGACGGCGGGGACCGGTGGATGAACGTGCAGACACAGGGGGACGAGACAGACCTGCAGAGGGACGGAGATGAGAGGTGAGACGGACAGACAGGAGCGGAGACGGAGAGACGCGCGCAGGGGAAGCACGCACGGACAGAGACGCGGACGCCACGCCGCCGGCACTCGGAATGGAACCGGTGACCCTCCCGACCGGGCCAGGTCTCGGACGTGCTGGACGTCATCTTCGCCGGGCCCTCGGCCGGAGCCGCGGCGACGGTGGCGGGCGCTTCCCCGGCGGCGGCGGTGGCGGCGGCGGCGGCGGCGGTGGCGGTGAGGCGCGTCGGCTCGACGATGGCGGAGGGGGCGGCCGCCGGCGGCCCGGGGCTGTCCCCGGCGACCCTGCGCATGCCGCGTTGCCGCATCAGCCGCTCGGCGCGAGACCTCGTCCTGCTGGCTCACGGCATCCTCGCCGAAGCCTGCAGCAGCCAGGGGCCCTGGTGAGCTGGCAGGGGGGGAGGTCTCGCCGCCGCCACGGTGACGGGACGTGGACCCGGCCGGGGGTTGGCTCGCTCTCGCCGCTGGTTGTCGCCGTTGGTCGTCGCGGTCGGAAATCCGAGCGGTCACTTGGCGGCAGCTGATCCACGCTCGGTGCGGGTTCGCCTGCTCCGTTCGCAGTGGCGGACGTTAGCGGGCGCGTGGGAGGCCACGGGCGTGATGGTCCATACTTGCCGCTCGGTAGATCGTGGCTAGGAGATGTTAACTACCTCGCCTGGTGTGCAGGAGGTCGTGGGTTCGCTCCCGACCCTGACGCCTGCTGCTGCTGTATATTTGGAGTTTGCGTGTCTCTCTCTCTCATCATCATCACGGTGGCTAGATGTTAACTACCTCGTCTGGTCTACAGGAGGTCGTGGGTTCGATCCCGACCCTGACGCCTGCTGCTGTATATTTGGAGTTTGCGTCTCTCTCTCATCATCATCATCATCACGGTGGCTAGGAGATGTTAACTACCTCGCCTGGTCTACAGGAGGTCGTGGGTTCGATCCCGACCCTGACGCCTGCTGCTGCTGTAAATTTGGAGTTTGCGTCTATCTCTCTCCCCGTGGTCGCATGCATTTTTCTCCGGGTCTTCCGGTTTTTCCTTTCACATTTAGATTCAACATCACGCGTTTAGAGTACAGTGAGTAACTTGGTCTGCGAGTGTTTTGCAAGACGAGCTACATTTTTTAATAAATAATAATTTGATAAACGAGCGAGGTCTTGCAATACGGGTAGTACATACAGTGTACGCTTTGTCTGCCGAGCGTCACGTGATCACAACTGAGCCAATGGTTCTTCTCTCTCACTGCGGGATTGTGGGTAATCATCTCCCATGCTCGGTCTCAGTCGGCGTGCCTCGCTCGTATAGTCAACATCCGTGCGAGCGTTTACTGTTTACTACAGTACTATAGTGTTGTGACCACGTGTATACTGTTTACTACAGTACTATAGTGTTGTGACCACGTGTATACTGTTTACTACAGTACTATAGTGTTGTGACCACGTGTATACTGTTTACTACAGTACTATAGTGTTGTGACCACGCGTATACTGTTTACTACAGTACTATAGTGTTGTGACCACGTGTATACTGTTTACTACAGTACTATAGTGTTGTGACCACGTGTATACTGTTTACTACAGTACTATAGTGTTGTGACCACGCATATACTGTTTACTATAGTACTATAGTGTTGTGACCACGTGCATACTGTTTTAACAGTACTATAGTGTTGTGACCACGTGTATACTGTTTACTGCAGTACTATAGTGTTGTGACCACGTGTATACTGTTTACTACAGTACTATAGTGTTGTGACCACGTGTATACTGTTTACTACAGTACTATAGTGTTGTGACCACGTGTATACTGTTTACTACAGTACTATAGTGTTGTGACCACGTGTATACTGTTTACTATAGTACTATAGTGTTGTGACCACGTGTATACTCTTTACTACAGTACTATAGTGTTGTGACCACGTGTATACTGTTTACTACAGTACTATAGTGTTGTGACCACGTGTATACTGTTTACTACAGTACTATAGTGTTGTGACCACGTGTATACTGTTTACTACAGTACTATAGTGTTGTGACCACGTGTATACTGTTTACTACAGTACTATAGTGTTGTGACCACGTGTATACTGTTTACTACAGTACTATAGTGTTGTGACCACGTGTATACTGTTTACTACAGTACTATAGTGTTGTGACCACGTGTATACTGTTTACTATAGTACTATAGTGTTGTGACCACGTGTATACTGTTTACTACAGTACTATAGTGTTGTGACCACGTGTATACTGTTTACTATAGTACTATAGTGTTGTGACCACGTGTATACTGTTTACTACAGTGCTATAGTGTTGTGACCACGTGTATACTGTTTACTACAGTACTATAGTGTTGTGACCACGTGTATACTGTTTACTATAGTACTATAGTGTTGTGACCACGTGTGTACTGTTTACTACAGTACTATAGTGTTGTGGCCACGTGTATACTGTTTACTACAGTACTATAGTGTTGTGACCACGTGTATACTGTTTACTACAGTACTATAGTGTTGTGACCACGTGTATACTGTTTTATACAGTACTATAGTGTTGTGACCACGTGTATACTGTTTACTATAGTACTATAGTGTTGTGACCACGTGTATACTGTTTACTACAGTTCTATAGTGTTGTGACCACGTGTATACTGTTTACTATAGTACTATAGTGTTGTGACCACGTGTATACTGTTTACTACAGTACTATAGTGTTGTGACCACGCGTATACTGTTTACTACAGTACTATAGTGTTGTGGCCACGTGTATACTGTTTACTACAGTACTATAGTGTTGTGACCACGTGTATACTGTTTACTACAGTACTATAGTGTTGTGACCACGTGTATACTGTTTTCTACAGTACTATAGTGTTGTGACCACGTGTATACTGTTTACTATAGTACTATAGTGTTGTGACCACGTGTATACTGTTTACTACAGTACTATAGTGTTGTGACCACGTGTATACTGTTTACTACAGTGCTATAGTGTTGTGACCACGTGTATACTGTTTACTACAGTACTATAGTGTTGTGACCACGTGTATACTGTTTACTATAGTACTATAGTGTTGTGACCACGTGTATACTGTTTACTACAGTAGTGTTGTGACCACGTGTGTACTGTTTACTACAGTACTATAGTGTTGTGGCCACGTGTATACTGTTTACTACAGTACTATAGTGTTGTGACCACGTGTATACTGTTTACTACAGTACTATAGTGTTGTGACCACGTGTATACTGTTTACTACAGTACTATAGTGTTGTGACCTCGTGTATACTGTTTACTACAGTACTATAGTGTTGTGACCACGTGTGTGTGCGTAAAGCATGTTTTTATTTTGTGTCCAAGTGTAGTGACTGTTCTTTAGTAACTGTACTGCAAGTGAAAGTCGTCCTACACAATATCCCTCCTCCTCCTCTCCTCTCTCTCGTCTCTCTCACACCAGCCACGATTAAATGTAATTAATAAATTTTATTACTTTATATAAAATTTAAATAATAAAACTATAAAAAGGTATTTTGTATTACCGGTAATCAGTTTTATATGAATACGGTATTTTTGGTTTGTGGAACGAATCATCTGAGTTTCCATTATTTCTTATGGGGAAATTCGCTTTGATATACGAGTGCTTTGGATCGTGAGCACGTTTCCGGAACGAATTATGCTCGCAATCCAAGGTTTCGCCGTATTTGGCTGCTATAAATCTCCACGCGACGATGATGAGCCACTTGGTTGAGATATCGTTTGTGATGGCCGGGTCGTTTCTGCAAAAAAAAAGAGCTGCACAGCCTTATCTGGTCACGATAAAAAAAAAAATCTTTAGTTCATAGGTCGCACTCATCACACGCTGAGTGTTCTCGCCACAGATGAGCCACACGACACCTCGCTGATCTCGTATCGCGGTGTAAACCATCGCCACGCCGACTACGGTGGTCAAGCGGCGGCTTTTGGCTCGCCATCGAACATCACCGCGCCACGCAGCCCTTTCAGATGCGCTTCTGCGACCGTCGCACCGTACGTGGCCGGTGGTGAAGGGCGACAAACAAAACACAGCAAAAAGCAGTTCTGAGGAAATTTAGTTTTCAATTTAGCATAGTGGTGTAGTGTATAGTCGTCTAGTGTATAGTAGTGTAGTGTGTGTGTATGTTTCACTTATTTTGCACCGTACGTGGCCAACCGCGCTAATCGGAGGTGCGGGGGGAGGTGGACAGCAAACTAAACACACAATAAAAAGGAGTTCTAAAGAAATGAGTTTTTAATCTAGATTTAAAAGTGCGCAGCATGCTCCAGTGCCAAGAGGTCACGGTACGGACCCAGGTGCCATGGGTTTGACTGACTGAGATGACAAGCACACACGCAAAACAACCCCCTACCCTCCTCGTTGGTGCCGGGCGGTAACGCTGTGGTGAGCAGTGCCGTGGGGGGGAGGGCCAATTTAGATTGGCCATTCCCCTCATGGCGTTTGTAGCCAACGCAGCGGCAAAATGGGGGCTCTGGACGGGTGCGAGGAGCTGGTAACCCCTCCACCTTCAAATAAATGACCACTATACTGCGAAGAAAATATCAAACACGCTCGCACACACGCTCACGCTCGCGATTTCTCCCCGCAGTGCCACACAACTCTTCTACGCTGTCCGAAACATCTTCCACCTCTTCTGCGACGTCGTGCCAACCTACCACCGGTGAGCGCCAACCCCGCCGGCCATAATAGGCGCTCGCTAACTGCAGTAGGCCCAGCTGCCCTGCGTAGGTCATGCGGGGGGGGGGGCGGGGGGGTGTGTGTTCGTGTATTACGTGCGTGTCCGTGCGTCCCTACGCACGCATGTCTCCGCACGCATGTCTCCGCACGTGTATGTATGCCATACATAGCAGGCGTTACCAAAAAAATTCCAAAATTCTAAACATACACAAGATCCAGGTCCGGTTCTATACAGTCCACAAAATCCGTGATCTGATCCCATCCGTAAAGGATGTCATCCCTGACTTACAGTACCCCGGTGTTTGCAAATTGAGTTGTACCTGTGGTGACTGCTATATCGGGGAGACGAAACGACATATTTCTAACCGAATTCGCGAGCACAAATCAGATTTGAAACACGGCAGAACAAATTCTTCGGCCGTGGCTGATGATTGTTTCAACACAGCGGGTTCTCGTGACATTGTTTTCTCCGATACCAAAGTACTCTGCAAACCTCCCGGATATTACCAAAGATTTGTCCGTGAAGCCATCCCAGATATACAAACATAGACACAACATCAGCCGAGAGGATGGTTTTAAATTGAGCAACCATTGGAAAGATGTCATCAACCAAGTCAAACTTTAGCTGCCTTATAATTGTACGGCCATTGTCATTTCTGCCAGTGGTTGTACTCGCTCCCGTGCAGTGCACCATCGCTTCTCTTAAACCCCCTGCAGCATAACAAAAGGCGGCTTAACTTAGCCCCTCCCCCTCCCCACCCACGTCTTTTCCTGGCTCCTCCCCCCTTAACTTAGCCCCTCCCCCTCCCCACCCACGTCCCTTCCTGGCTCCTCCCCCCTTAACTTAGCCCCTCCCCACCCACGTTTCTTCCTGGCTCCTCCCCCCCCCCTTAACTTAGCCCTCCCCCCCACCCACGTCTCTTCCTGGCTCCTCCCCCCCCTTAACTTAGCCCCCCCACCCACGTCACTCCTGGCTCCTCCCCCCCCTTAACCTGTATATATAATCTCGGTTGTCTCAGATCTCTCCACTTGATACAGCTATTCTGCTGTGACTGTTCCACCTGAAGACGGAAGCTTGTGTTGCCTCCGAAACGTCGTGATTTAATTCAGTTGTTTTCATTTATTTTATTTTACCTACGTGACTTTACCAAAAAAAAACAAAGAGCATGAATCCTTGCAGTCACGAAAGCTTCAAATCTAGAATTAAAGCATGTGCTTTGCTTATGGGAGCGATGGTGTGGCGGTTAGCGTACCGCGCTACGAACCCGGCGACCCGAGTTTGATTCCCGCTCACGGACAACACCAGTGATGATAATTTTTGAACTAGTCCTGAGCCTCCCCTAGGTCAACTCAGCCTCAAGTGAGTAACCTGGTGCGGTGCGTTAAAAAAAACATCGCCACTGGGGGAGACAAAGGCGGCTGGGTGTGGTCCTGGCCATCCACCCCCCTCGTGTGCCGTGCCGGCCTTCATAGGTGCTGCTACTCACTAACAGCACTTGCCCCAACAGTCTGTTAAGCCAATACGGTGGATTCTTTGTGTGTGCGTGTCCGCGTGTGTGCATCTGCATGCGTGTGCGTCCGCGTGTGTGTGTCCGCGTGTGTGTGTCCGAAGCGTGTGTGTCTCCCTGCGTGTGTGTGTCCGCGTGTGTGTGTCCGCGTGTGTGTGTCCGAAGCGTGTGTGTCTCCGTGCGTGTGTGTGTCCGCGTGTGTGTGTGCGCGTCCGCGTGTGTGTGCGCGTCCGCGTGTGTGCGTGTGTGTGTCTCCGTGCGTGTGTCCGCGCGTGTGTGTGTCCGTGCGCGTGTGTGTCCACGTGCGTGTGTGTGCGTCCGCGCGCGTGTGTGTGTGTGTGTGTCCGCGCGTGTGTGTGCGCGCGTGTCCACTTGTGCGTGCTCGCGCCAGGGAGTCTCTGCAGAACTTCCCGCAGGTGGCCGCCATCCACCACAACAACTGCATGCTGCTGGCGCACTACCTGCTGACGCTGGGCCACCAGTACTACACGCGGCTTCCCTTCTCGCTCTCCGAGGGCACCTCCACCTTCGTCGACCTCGTGCCCACCTTGCGCAAACTCGGTGAGTCGCAAAGGCAAAGGTGGTGTCCACCCACACCCCCCTCCCACCCCCCCATGCCCCCAAGATGTAGCCTCGACAGACGATTGGGGCAAGTGCCGTTAGCGAGCGGCGCGTACGGATGTGGTGGCGTGGCTGGTAACCACGCCCCGTCCGCCTCTGTCTCCCACAAGAGACAAAGGTCCCCCGCATAGCCTGAACAGACCGGAGGGGCAAGTGCTGTTAGCGGGGAGCACTTAGGAAGGCCGGCGGGTGATATCATTCAGCGCACGCACGCTGAGACAAAGACAAAGATCCCCCGTACAGACTTTCAGACTTCAGAACAGAACGTTGGGGCGCTAGGTGCTGCTCGCGAGCACCGCCCGTGAACGGGGTGGTATGGCCGGTACCAGATCTCAGGATCGGAGTCTCAAGATCTTCAGTCTAGAGACCCAGGACTCAAGAGCTTCCGAGTTGAGACCGGGCTTCAGTTAAGATTGCCTCACACCGTTTCTCGTTGACCCATCTGACCCCGTGACCTCTGCTGCCCCTCCCCCCCCCCCCCAGGAGAGGAAGCGCTGCTGGGCCAGCTGAGCTCCCAGAAGGCCGTGCTGCATGAGTCGCTGGGCGTCGCTCGGGGATTCCGCAGCCTGGAGGACGACGGGAACTACGCGGCAGCGCAGCGGAGCGTCAAGCAGGCACGCCGAGTCGCCCGCCCGCTCGCCCAGCGAGTCGCCCGCCCGCTCGGCCACTCCTCAGCCACTTAACCCACTGAGTCACCCACTCACTCGACTACAGCAATCACGTTGGGGAGCGTCAAGCAGGCACGCCGAGTCGCTCGCCCAGCGAGTCGCCCGCCCGCTCGCCCAGCGAGTCGCCCACCCACTCAACCACCGAGTCGCCCACTCACCCAGCCACCGAGTCACCCACTCGCCCACCGAGTCGCCCACTCACCCAGCCACCGAGTCACCCACTCGCCCACCGAGCCGCTCGCCCCACTCACCCCCCGAGCTGACCGCTGGGCGACTGCTGCTTCGTCGACCCCCGAATCGCTCAACCACTCGGCGTCTCTGACAACGCCCGTTAGGAACTCATTGAGAGAGACAGCGAGAGAGAGACAGAGACAGCGAGAGAGAGACAGCGAGAGAGAGAGACAGCGAGAGAGAGAGAGACAGCGAGAGAGAGAGAGACAGCGAGAGAGAGACAGCGAGAGACAGCGAGAGAGAGACAGCGAGAGAGCGAGAGAGAGAGACGGCGAGAGAGAGAGAGAGAGCGAGAGACAGAGAGAGAGAGACAGCGAGAGAGGGAGAGACAGCGAGAGAGAGAGCAAGAGGGAGAGACAGAGAGAGAGAGACAGCGAGAGAGAGACAGAGAGAGAGAGTGAGAGAGAGACAGCGAGAGAGAGACAGCGAGAGAGAGACGGCGAGAGCGAGACAGAGAGAGAGCGAGAGAGAGAGACAGAGCGAGAGAGAGAGCGAGAGAGAGAGAGACAGCGAGAGAGAGAGACAGCGAGAGAGAGAGAGACAGCGAGAGAGAGACAGCGAGAGAGAGACAGCGAGAGAGAGACAGCGAGAGAGAGACAGCGAGAGAGAGACAGCGAGAGAGAGAGACAGAGAGATGGACACCCAGACAGACCCGGGGCTTGAACCCAGGTGGTCTGCGACGACAGAACACACCGACGCACACCGGGATGCTGGGCGCGCCCCTTGCTCTGCTCGCGTCAAAATGGTCGCTGCGTCGCGCGCTTTGGGATGCGCTTCCGCGGCCGTCTGGAACGCGCTCCTCCATCCGATATCAGGAAGCCACTGGGAGCTGCACACTTTTAAATCGTCTCGGTCTCAAACGCATTTCTTTAGAAACTGCGTTCTGTATTTTTTTTTTTTTCCCCCGCGACTCCGAATAGCGCGCGGTTGGCTACGTACGGTGCGACAGAAGTTCAACGTCAGAATCTGCATTTACACTGCAGGAGGAATCCGATGAGCTGTGAAGCTCTTTGTTCCACGGGTGTCCAGTAGGGGCACGGGGTAAGAGCGAGCGTTTACAACAACACGCAATGCAAAAACACGACGGTAGTGCAAAGTGCAGGGAAAAAAAAATCACCCAACACACAAACACAATCAACACTAAACCATCCCGATCCGACCAGGCAAAGCCCCACTGGTGTTTGGGGAGGGGGGGGGGGTGGCTGGCTGTTTAACTTATTTTTCAGAAGCTACCTGGCCGCAAGCGACAGCACGACAAAGCGGCTGTCATCACGCGGGCATTGACAGCGGACAAAATAACCTTCAGTAAATCTCGTTACGTGCCAAGCAGTAGTAGCGGCGGTGGCGGCGGCAGCGAGGGAGGAGGTGGCGATGGGGGCGGCCTCCCTGCGCCTTAACCCCCCCCCCCCCCCCCCGCGTCGCTCCCGCCCAGGTGCTGCACCAGCTGAGCCGGCTGGGCGTGGTGTGGCAGGGCGTGCTGCCCGTCAACGTCTACTGCAAGGCCTTGGGGACCCTCCTCAACACGGCCCTCACGGAGATCACCTCCGCCGTCGCCGCCCTGGAGGTGAGAGCGCGGGCGCCTGAGCCGCCCGGGGGTCACACCCCCCTCTCTCCTCTGTTCTCTCTCCTCTGTTCTCTCTCCTCTGTTCTCTCTCCTCTGTTCTCTCTCCTCTGTTCTCTCTCCTCTGTTTTCTCTCCTCTGTTCTCTCTCCTCTCTCCTCTGTTCTCTCTCCTCTGTTCTCTCTCCTCTGTTCTCTCTCCTCTGTTCTCTCTCCTCTGTTCTCTCTCCTCTGTTCTCTCTCCTCTCTCCTCTGTTCTCTCTCCTCTGTTCTCTCTCCTCTGTTCTCTCTCCTCTGTTCTCTCTCCTCTCTCCTCTGTTCTCTCTCCTCTCTCCTCTGTTCTCTCTCCTCTGTTCTCTCTCCTCTGTTCTCTCTCCTCTGTTCTCTCTCCTCTGTTCTCTCTCCTCTGTTCTCTCTCCTCTCTCCTCTGTTCTCTCTGCTCTGTTCTCTCTCCTCTGTTCTCTCTCCTCTCTCTTTCCTCTCTCCTCTCTCTCTCGTTTTACGATCAGAAGAAACAAGAAGATGCTCGGTGTAGTCGGCACTTTGCTCCGTTCATCATTTCGTTTTTTTTGGTTTTTTTTTTTTTAATGCTTTGCTTTATGTAACCCCCCCCCCCCCTTTTAAATGAAAGACCCAAAATATTTTTTTATTTTTTTTCCTTTCCCCTTCCCTCTCTCTCTACCCCCCTCTCTGCCCTCCCTCTCTCTCTACCCCCCTCTCTGCCTCTCCTCTCTCTCTACCCCCTCTCCGCCCCCCCCTCTCTCTCTGCCCCCTCTCTTCCTACTCCATTTGGCTCTCTCTCGCTCTCTCTTTTTTCTTTATAACTATGACAAGTGCTGCATCTGCACACAGCCCTTCCCACAGTCAAACGGCCTCCGACGGGTAGCTTAGATCTGCATGCAGAGCTCTCTACCGTCATCTGCCACCGAGCACACGGCCTCCTCCAGCGCCCACCGCTCCTTGAAGGCCGGCACGGCGTGGGTCAGCCACGCACGGCGGAACTCCGGCCCACACACCCTGGCTCCGACCAGAGCGCGGAAGATGCCCAGGCTGCTGGCCGGACATTGCCCCTCCAGGGCCACCTTCCTCGCCCTATATATGGCGAGCTTGGCGTAGCCGAAGAGCACGTTGACCAGCCCCTGAAGATGTTGGGGTCCGTCACCCTTCGGGTATCCAAAGATGAGGACCGTCGGGGAGAAGTGGAGGCTGAACCTTAGGAGGATGTTTCTCAGGACCTTGAACAGCGAGTCCAGGCTCTTGCACTCCACGTATTGGTGCGCCACCGTCTCCGCTTTACCGCAGAACCGGCACTCCGGGGACGTGTCAGTGAAGCGCGCCAGGGAGAGGCGTCGGTGGTGACGGTGCCGTGGGTGATGCTCCGGCTGAGGTCGCCGATGCGGTCGTACGTCGGTCTGCAGTAGAGTTGCCTCCAGCGAGGCCTCTCCGGAGAGACGCAGGGCAGGGCTCTCCTCCAGGCGTGGTCCTTGTGGCTCCTCAGGGTGTCCTGTTGGTGGAACCGGACCATGTAGGAGTAGAGCACCTTCCTCTTTACATTTGCGAAGGCCGCCTCCGGCAGGTCTCCCAGCCGGCACAGGTTGTGATCCGCCTTCGTTTGTCGGCATTGGCGATGCAGTGGCTCTTCTCTCCTCTCCCTCCTCTCTCTTCTCTCCTCTCTCTCTCTCTCCTCCCTCTCTCTCTCTTCTCTCCTCTCTCTCCCTCTCCTCCCTCTCTCTCTCTTCTCTCCTCTCTCTCTCCTCCCTCTCTCTTCTCTCTCCTCTCTCTCTCTCTCCTCCCTCTCTCTCTCTCTTCTCTCCTCTCCCTCCTCTCTCTCTCTCTTCTCTCTCTCTCCTCCCTCTCTCTCTCTCTTCTCTCCTCTCCCTCCTCTCTCTCTCTCTCCTCCCTCTCTCTCTCTCTTCTCTCCTCTCCCTCCTCTCTCTCTCTCTTCTCTCTCTCTCCTCCCTCTCTCTCTCTCTGTGAGGGGGCTCATAATGGCCGTGTCGGTAGACGTTGAGCCGGCACAACTGAGAAGCTCCGGTTCGAGCCCTGGGTCTGGGTGTCTCTCACTCTCAGGGGGTCCCAGGGGACACTCAAGGCTTTGTAATGAGGTTGGATTAATACAGAAACGCTAAATCTATCTTCTCTTGTAAATATATATATTAAACACGAGTTTATGGGGTAACGAGGGGTCAGGTGTTGGGGGTTAGGGTGGGAGATTGAACGGAGCTGAGCGTGCCTCGCCACCCCCCCCCCCTTTCCCACCCCCCCCCCCTTCCCACCCCCCCTCCACCACGAACCCCCCCAGGACATCTCGGCGCTGGACGCCGACCGGCTTCACGCGCTGTGCTCGGAGGTCGCCACCTCCGCGCCCGCGGCCTTCCGCCCGTGGTCGGAGGGGGAGGAGGAGGAGGAAGGGGGGGAGGGGGACTTGGGTGCGGACGACGGCGACGAGGTGAGGGCGCGGGAGGAGGAGGAGCGGAGGCTGCGCCTGCGGCTGCCGCTGCACGTGGCCGCGTGGGGGAGATTCGCAGAGCTTCGGGGCCTCCTGCAGGGCACGCTCAGCGACATCGTCGATAGGTGAGCGGTGACGCCGTCGCTCGCTCGCTCACTCGCTCGCTCGCTCGCTCAAGTCGCCGGGTAGGGGGTAAGTCGCTCGCTCGCTCGCTCGGTAAGTCGGTTGCGGGCTATGTCGGTGGCTCGCTCGCTCGGTAAGTCGGTTGTGAGAGGTAAGTCGCTCGCTCGCTAGCTCAGTCGGTTGCGGGCTATGTCGGTCGGTCACTCGCTCGGTCAGTCGATTGTGGGGTAAGTCGGTCGGTCACTCGCTCGTTCACACGGTCAGTCAGTTACGGATTGAGTCGGTTGTGGGGTAAGGCGGTCGGTCACTCACGCCCTCTCAACGGTCAGTCGGTTAGGGACTTGGTCGGTCGGTCACTCGCTCGATCGCTCATGTGATCGGTCCGTGATTGAGTCACTCACTCAATCAAGGACTCGGTCCACCCCTCTGTTGCTCAGTTACCGAGGTAGTGAGTCGCTTGATTGCTCACTCATGTGGCGATCCGTGCGAAGAGTTATTCCACCACCACTGCCACCGCACCTTCCCGGCAGATGCCTTAAATAGGTGTTCGCTAACACGCTGTGCCCTGTGTGTTTGCGCGCGTGTCTGCAGGTGTGTTTGCGCACGTGTCTACATGTCTCCGTGTCTACGCGCGTGTCTCCGTGTCTACGTGTCTTCGTGTCTACGCGCGTGTCTCCGCGTCTACGTGCGTCTCCGTGTCTACATGTCTCCGTGTCTACGCGCGTGTCTCCGTGTCTACGCGCGTGTCTCCGTGTCTACGTGTCTTCGTGTCTACGCGCGTGTCTCCGGGTCTACGTGTTTCCGTGTCTACGCGCGTGTCTCCGTGTCTATGCGCGTGTCTCCGTGTCTACGCGCGTGTCTCCGTGTCTACGCGCGTGTCTCCGTGTCTACGCGCGTGTCTCCGTGTCTACGCGCGTGTCTCCGCGTCTACGCGCGTGTCTCCGCGTCTACGCGCGTGTCTCCGCGTCTACGCGCGTGTCTCCGTGTCTACGCGCGTGTCTCCGTGTCTACGCGCGTGTCTCCGTGTCTACGCGCGTGTCTCCGTGTCTACGCGCGTGTCTCCGTGTCTACGCGCGTGTCTTCGTGTCTACGCGCGTGTCTCCGGGTCTACGTGTTTCCGTGTCTACGCGCGTGTCTCCGTGTCTACGCGCGTGTCTCCGTGTCTACGCGCGTGTCTCCGTGTCTACGCGCGTGTCTCCGTGTCTACGCGCGTGTCTCCGTGTCTACGCGCGTGTCTCCGTGTCTACGCGCGTGTCTCCGTGTCTACGCGCGTGTCTCCGCGTCTACGCGCGTGTCTCCGCGTCTACGCGCGTGTCTCCGTGTCTACGTGTCTTCGTGTCTACGCGCGTGTCTCCGTGTCTACGTGCGTGTGTGGTGATGGCCACCCACCCACTCGTGCGCCGTTCCGGCCTTCTTCGTAGGTGCTACCCTCCAACAGCACTTGCCCCGACAGTCAGCTAAGGCAACACGGGGTGTGTGTGGGGAGCGGTGGTGCAGCGGTTAGCGCTACGCTGCGCTATGAACCCGGCGACCCGGGTTCGATTCCCGCTCACGGCCAACACCAGCGACGATTATCTGAACCCGGCCTGAGCCTCCCCTAGGTCGACTCAGCCTCAAAAGAGTACCTCGTGCGGTGTGTAAACATCGCCACTGGGGAGACAAAGGTCCTACTCGCTAACAGCACTTGCCCCTACAGTCTGTTTGGCTATACTGGGGGATCTTTGTCTTTATCTTTTGTGTGTGTGCGTGTGTGCGTGCGTGTGTGCGCGCGTGTGTGCGCCCGCGCGTGCGTGTGTGTGTGTACGTATGTGTGCGTGTGTATGCGTGTACGTGTGTGCGTGTGTATGTATGTACGTGTGTGTGCGTGTGTGTGTGTACGTGTGTGTGTGCGTGTGTGTGTGCGTGTGTGTGTGTGCGTGTGTGTGTGTACGTGTGTGTGTGTGTCAGGTGGGCTGACGGCAAGGGCCCGCTGGCCCAGGAGTTCTCCCCCAGTGAGGTGAAGTCGCTCGTCCGGGCGCTCTTCCAGAACACCGACCGGCGCGCAGCTGCCCTCAACAAGATCAAATAGTGGGGGGCAGGGCACACCACACGTGGGGGGGGGGCAGGGGGGTGCACCACACGTGGGGGGGTGCACCACACCACACATGGGTGGGGGGCAGGGGGGTGCACCACACCACACCACACATGGGGGGGTGGGGGGTGCACCACACCACACATGGGGGGGGGGCACCACACCACACATGGGGGGGTGGGGGGGCAGGGGGGTGCACCACACCACACAGGGGGGTTTGCCACAGCAGACTTTTGGGGCAAGTGCTGTTAGCAGACACACACTGACAGCGATTGACACACAGACACTTGCACAGATAGACACAGACACTTACACAGATAGACACAGACACACAGATAGACACAGACACTGACAGTGATTGACACACAGACACTTACACAGATAGACACAGACACTTACACAATAGACACAGACACTTACACAGATAGACACAGACACTTACACAGATAGACACAGACACTTACACAGATAGACACAGACACACAGATAGACACAGACACTGACAGTGATTGACACACAGACACTTACACAGATAGACACAGACACTTACACAGACACAGACACACAGATATACACAGACACTTGCACAGATAGACACAGACACTTGCACAGATAGACACAGACACACAGATAGGCACAGACACTTACACAGATAGACACAGACAATTGCACAGATAGACACAGACACTTGCACAGATAGACACAGACACTTACACAGATAGACACTTACACAGATAGACACAGACACTTACACAGATAGACACAGACACTTACACAGATAGACACAGACACTGACACAGATAGACACATACACTTACGCAGATAGACACAGACACTTACACAGATAGACACAGACACTTACACAGATAGACACAGACACTTGCACAGATAGACACAGATACTTACACAGATAGACACTTACACAGATAGACACAGACACTTACACAGATAGACACAGACACTTACACAGATAGACACAGACACTTACACAGATAGACACAGACACTGACACAGATAGACACAGACACTTACACAGATAGACACAGACACTTACACAGATAGACACAGACACTTACACAGATAGACACAGACACTTGCACAGATAGACACAGATACTTACACAGATAGACACTTACACAGATAGACACAGACACTTACACAGATAGACACAGACACTTGCACAGATAGACACAGACACTTACACAGATAGACACTTACACAGATAGACACAGACAATTGCACAGATAGACACAGACACTTGCACAGATAGACACAGACACTTACACAGATAGACACTTACACAGATAGACACAGACACTTGCACAGATAGACACAGATACTTACACAGATAGACACTTGCACAGATAGACACAGACACTTACACAGATAGACACAGACACTTGCACGGATAGACACAGACACTTACACGGATAGACACAGACACTTACACAGATAGACACAGACACTTACACAGATAGACACAGACACTTACACAGATAGACACAGATACTTACACAGATAGACACAGACACTTGCACAGATAGACACAGACACTTACACAGATAGACACAGACACTTACACAGATAGACACAGACACTTGCACGGATAGACACAGACACTTACACAGATAGACACTTACACAGATAGACACAGATACTTACACAGATAGACACAGACACTTGCACAGATAGACACAGACACTTACACAGACACTTACACAGATAGACACAGACACTTACACAGATAGACGCAGACACTTACACAGATAGACACAGACACTTGCACAGATTGACACAGACACTTGCACAGATAGACACTTAAACAGATAGACACAGACACTTACACGGATAGACACAGACACATGCCTACAAACCCCACAAAGACAAAATTCCCCCGTACAGATGTTTAGGACTTCTGGGGCAAGTGCTGTTGTAGAGTAGCACCTAGGAAGGTCGGCACGGCACGCGAGGGGGTGGGTGGGTGGCCATTACTTAGCCCGGACGTACACACACGCACAACAACACAACAATCGCCACTAAGTGGCGGTGACGTCACCACGGCGCTTGTGCCAGGCTAGCTGCACCTTAAGGCCCACGTGAAGTGTCGAACACCGGCTGGCAGGAGGTCACGGGACAGACCCCCAGGTGCCATAGGTTGGCTGACTGAGATGACTGAGATGAGTGGCTGATGCACCACCTGTGCCCCCTACTGTGCCAAACTGCTCTGCTTTAGCCACCCGGCGCTCCGCTCGTTGTTGCGAGCGTCGCTCCTCCGCCCTGCGTTGTTGTTGGAGGGCGACTGCCTCCAACTGCCCAGTAGCGTCCTTCACGAGCCTCCTCCACAGAGGCCAATCCTGACACCGCTGGTACCGGTCATCGGCAAGTCCACTCAGCCCCACGTCCTCCTGTACCACGTCACTCCATCTCTTCTCTAGCCCGTGCCGCGCCCGCTTAGCCCCCTCAATCCGGCCGAACAACAGCTGTTTCGGCATGCGGTGGCTGGGCACGCGGGCTACATGACCCAGCCAACGCAGCCTTGCCTGCCGGTTGAGCTCACCGATGCGACCTTGCCGAGATCTTTCAAAGATTTGTGAGCTCATCACAATCCAGCCTGGTTAAACCCAGGATCGTAGGCAGGCTAGCCTAAATGTTTCTAAACCGGCGAAGATGTTCCATTAGGGGGGGTCCACGTTTCGCAAGCGTAGAGAAGGGAGGGAATGACCGTGGTCGAGAAGACCTGAAGCTTAGTGCGGAGCGACAGACCAGGTAGCTTCCACACAGCGTTACGCAACCGATGAAAAGATATTGCCGCTCGACTGATTCGGAGTGAGACCTCTGCTGTTAAACTGTACACACACACACGTGCGCACACACGTAGACACACACACCGATCCACGCTCGAGACAATCCGCCATCGCGTCACGTCACCCTCAGCCAGTCTCTGTCCACCGCTGGATGGCTGCATCCCTAACGCCAATTGTACATCAACTCGCCCACTCCACCCCTCTCCCCACCCAAAGTGCACTTGTTTTTCCTAATCGCGTGACGAAGTCGCGCGCGTGTCGCACTGCCGCTCACATCCCACCCCGAGTCTTGTATTTGTACTGCAGGAGGAATCCGACGAGCTCTAAAGCTCTTTGCCACGCACGGCCAGTAGCGGCCGGGCCTTGCCCTTGTGCAGGGCATTGTGGGAGAGGTGGAGTCCGTAACTCCCACGGTGCTTCGTAGCTTTGATCGCCGCCTCCACCGGGCAAGGTCAACGCCAAGCTGAAGGCGCAGCCCTGGCAAATGCTTGCTGACACCCCTGCTGGGGGAAGAGCGGGCGACCCCTCTCTCTCCGACCCACTCTTCCACCGCTAACTCAAGTGGCGGGCGTGACCCACGCTTTGCCCCCACAGCGCGCACGCGACTCACCCCGCCGATTGTGCCTCGCCGCGATGAGCCCATTTACACAGCTGCTGGGTGGTGGTGGTCACGGTGGTGAGCGGTGGTTTTGGTGGTGACGGTGGCGGTAGCAGAGGTGGTGGTCACGGTGGTGGTGGAGGTGGTGGTGAAGGTGGTAACAGTGACAGTGATGGTGGTAACGGTGGCAGTGGTAGAGATGGTGGTGACGGTGGCGGTAGTAGAGGTGGTGGTGACGGTGGTAGAGGTGGTGGTGACGGTGGTAACGGTGACAGTGATGGTGGTAACGGTGGCAGTGATGGCGGTGGTAGAGATGGTGGTGACGGTGGTAACGGTGACAGTGGTGGTGGTAACGGTGGCAGTGATGGCGGTGGTAGAGATGGTGGTGACGGTGGTAACGGTGGCAGTGATGGTGGTAACGGTGGCAGTGATGGCGGTGGTGTAGAGATGGTGGTGACGGTGGTAACGGTGGCAGTGGTGGTGGTGGCGACGGCGTTCGTGATTTTGGTGGTAACCGTAGAGGTGGCGGTGATGGATCCAAGAAATCCGCCCCTCCCCCCGGCATCGTTTCAACTGCTACGGCACCGCGAGATGGATGGGAGTCCAACCGGCACCCTGTGACCTATGTGGCGTTGGCTGCCACGACCGCCGCTGCTGCTGCTGCCCCGTCACCAACCACTGCGGTTGGCAGCGTTGTCACGAAGGACGCGTTTGTTATTTCGCCGTTGCCCACCCCGTTTTTGGCCGCTATCGTAAATGTTGCGTTGATTTTCCCACGAGGACGCGGAAGAGTAAAACGTCACGCACGTGTCGTCCCTCTCCGTCTCTTTTGTGCCTGTGTGTTGCAGAGTGTTTCTGTTGCCATCCTTTGCGGCCGTGATTTGGGGGGGGCGGCTGATGACTCACGTAGAGAGACACATAGACTCGAATAGAGACCCATAGACTCACATAGAGACCCATAGACGCACATAGAAACCCATAGACTCAAGCAGGGACCCGTAGACTCACATAGAGACACATAGACTCGCGTGGAGACCCATAGACTCACAGAGACACATAGACTCACAGAATCCCATAGACTCACAGAGACCCATAGACTCGCATAGAAACCCATAGACTCACGTAGAGACCCACAGACTCACGTAGAGACAGACTCACGTAGAGAGACCCATAGACTCGAATAGAGACCCATAGACTCGAATAGAGACCCATAGACTCACAGAGACACATAGACTCAAGCAGAGACCCATAGACTCACATAGAGACACAGACTCTAATAGAGACCCATAGACTCACATAGACACCCATAGACTCACATAGACACCCATAGACTCACAGAGACCCATAGACTCACATAGAGACCCATAGACTCACATAGAGACCCATAGACTCACATAGAGACACATAGAGACACAGACTCACAGAATCACATAGACTCGCGTGGAGACCCATAGACTCACAGAATCACATAGACTCGCGTGGAGACCCATAGACTCACATAGAGACCCATGGACTCACATAGAGACCCATAGACTCACAGAGTCCCATAGACTCACATAGAGACCCATAGACTCACATAGAGACACAGACTCGAATAAAGACCCATAGACTCACATAGAGACCCATAGAC